CTTTTCCCTGTGGCGGCTCGGAATGGATTACAGTGTAAACAGATACCAGCAAACATTTCATGACTTGTTACAATACAATGAGACACACAATCACAAAGGCAGAGGCTTCTCCTTTAATTTCTGGCTTTGAAGGTGGTGCTCTTCTCTGGCTCTAGAGGAGGTGCTGTTCTCAGTTTCCAAGCCGAGGATCCTGTATTGTCACCTCCTGGTCGTGTGACCGGCGTGACTGCTTGGAGCGTCTTATGCTTTTGCTGCCAAAGCAGTACCTATTTATCTACTCACATTTGCATGTTTTTAAACTGCTAGGTTGTCAGGAGCTGGGCTAAAAGTGAGAGCTCACCCTGTCCCACGGATTTGAACAGCCGGCAGTTCAGAAAACAAGGGTTTATCCCATTGCACCACCATGGCCCTCCAAGAATACATGACAGATATAAAGGTGCTAATTCAGAGAGTAGTTTTATTTCCATCGTGGTGTCCGTCCTGGAAATCCATGCCTGGGTTGCGCGGCAGCAGACAAAAAGCACACAGACACAGGAACAAGCAGCATTGAGTAGAATTTAATGACTCAGGACCCAAGACAAACATCAACTTTATACAAAGAAGAGAGCAAGACTGAGGCTTCCGGGACAGCCCCATTTGGTTACAGCAATTTTGGGCATGAATAAAAAGGCCAGGGAGCCTAAGATTTAAATAAAGGTGGTAATGGCAGTGGCTTCCCACCCCAAGGAAGTCACAGGGGGCAAGAAATCCAAAAGGATGAGGAAGGAGAAGGGAAGCAGCCAAACAGCAGGGCAAGCCACTGCCCCATGCCTTCTGTGTGGAAGGGGAAGGCAAACGGAGGCACCAACCACCAGCTTCCTTGCCCACTAAACGCCGGACTAGTCAATGCTGGTGAAGGGATCTATACTCGCACCCAAAGGGAAGGGAAGAAAAAAACCCAAAGCAGAAGAGAAGAAGCACACCCGCATCATGAAGGCTTTTGTAGCCAAGATGGGTGTCCTGAGCTTGGAAAAGACCTAGGAGAGTGGAGTGGGAAGGGTCGGCAAAGAAGGGACCGTGGAAGGTAGCAAAGCAGGCACCCATGGTATGACAATTTGGGAGGAAGCCCCTTAGGGGCAGACGCCAATGACCCCCCCGCCCCCCCAGGAGGACAGGCTGGGTTTGCAAGAGGAGGAGCGCAGGGCTCACCACAGTTCACCTGCCTATGGGCGAGGAGACCTAACCAGAGCTTTTGGGGCAGGAGAGGAGCTTGGGGGGAGGAGGGAGGAAGGGTTGCACCGGGGGCTCAAATAGATTTACCCATGCATGCCGGCACAGAGCAGCCTCTAGCAGGGGATACAATAGGGAACCTTTTCCAGCTTGCAGGGGAGGAGGAAGGGGTGGAGTGGAAAGTGCTTGTGTGCTCAAGAAAAGGTCACAGCAGCTCCTTCTCCTTCCCACTGCAGGGGTACGCCGGGACGCGGTGAGTGGGGAGGGAGGGAGGGAGAGGAGGGGGGAAGCCACAAAACAATGCCTTCTTATATACACCCCCTCCCTCTCCCACCCCCCCAGTGCAGGACGCCTTTAGTCAACCTCTTCCATGTTGTTGTAGGATGGAGTGGGGTGCTCTGCAACCCCCTCTGGAGCCAGTGTGGGAGCAACGTCAGGGGCCAGGCTGGTTCCAAAGGGCGATGAGCTAATTCCCTGCAAACAGAACAAAATATTAGGTAACAACAGTTCAAAGGAAGCGGCACAAGCACTAACACCTCCTTCTTTCCAATCTAGTATGAACCCTATGGGATTTGTTTCCCATCTGAAGTACCAAAACACAGCTTCAAGATCTAGAACAGTGGTCCTCAAACTTTTTAAACGGAGGGCCAGGTCACAGTCCCTCAAACTGTTGGAGGGCCGGATTATAATTTAAAAAAAACCCCATGAATTAATTCCTATGCACATATCTTATTTGTAGTGCAAAGAACACTTTAAAACAATACAATAATTAAAATGAAGAACAGTTTTAACAAATATAAACTTATTAGTATTTCAATTGAAAGTGTGGGCCTGCTTTTGGCTGATGAGATAGGATTGTTGTTGTTGTGTGCTTTCAAGCCATTTCAGACTTAAGTTGACCTTGAGCGAGGGCCGGGTAAATGACCTTGGAGGGCCGTATCCAGCCTCCAGGCCTTAGTTTGAGGACCCCTGATCTAGAATTACAGCCTGAAAGAATCCACCGTAGGTACTCATGTAGAACTCATCCTGTGTATAAATCGAGGGCAGGTTTTGGGGCCAAAAGTATGAATTTTGATGTGATCCATGAGTAAATTGAAGGCCATTCTATGAAGATGGAAAAGCACCAATGACATTTTAAGGGGCTAATCTCCCCTAGCCACCAACCTTGCCTTGCCCAGGCATTTGAAAAGGCAAAAAACACTGTCCCAGCTGAGGGCCTATTAACAGATGGGTGCTTCTCTTTAGACTGAACTCTTGCCTTTCACCACTGTACTGTGAAAATAATTTCTTTCTTTTTCTGGTAAGAGTTAACGTACAGTATTCACATTGATTCACAGATATGTTGACCTAGATTTTGGGGTTGATTTTTTTTGGCTAAAATTTCTAGACTTATATATGAATATATAGCATGAGTCAGTGGTTCTCAACCTGTGGGTCTCCAGATATTTTGGCCTTCAACTCCCAGAAATCCTAACAGCTGGAAAACTGGCTGGGATTTCTGGGAGTTGTAGGCCAAAACACCTGGGAACCCACAGGTTGAGAACCACTGGGGTAAGTCCTTTTATACATAAGTTTGGGCAGTTGCAAAATGTATAGTACTTTTTTTGTATAGTACTTTTTTTGCACCACAGATAATTACAGGTTTGATAGGGATGCAACTGAAACAATATTGAGATCTCCTTTATACAGGTAAAATGATATGCAAAATACATTTCAATTTCAGATTGTGGGACACCCATGACCTCTTCTACTCCAGTCTTGTCTCCTTGACTGTCAGGACTGGGAAAATTGCTTCAAGAATTCTATGCCAAAATAATCTAAATTCACCTCCACAGAAAACAGAATTATCAGGCCTGTATAAATTATGCAAATTGACTCATAGCTAACTTGTTTTGCATAATATATTCCACTTCTGCTAATAACAGAGAGATGCAAAAAACTACATAAGTACAATTATTGAGTAGACACTGTGGTAGGTCCCTTGCGTTTTGGCTTTATTGATTCATTAGAGACTGTCCACACTTTTAAAAAAGAAATCTTCTAGTTGCTAGAAAAGCTATATTTTATTTCTTATTTGAAAGGTAGGATAGGGAATCCTTTTATTGCGTCAGCACTTGCATTCTTCATGAATAATCGGTCAAAGGTGGCATGCCAAAAACATGCAGGGTAAGGCATCCATTTGGTCAGCTCTTTCTCCCTTCCCCTTTCCGTTCATGTTTTTTTTTCTGCTTTGTTAGATATAATCACTTCAAGAAGGGGAGGGATGGAAGGGCTGCTATCTTTGTTGTCCGCTCCTTCCTTTCCTTTCCCCTCCTTTTCTCACCCCTCAGTTTTGACACTATTTGCAAAACCTTCCTGATATACTCATGTATAAGCACCGGGATTGTGGCGCAGCTGGCTGAGTGTCAGCTGCATTAAGATCACTCTGACCAAAAGGTCATGAGTTCGAAGCCAGCCCGGGTTGGAGTGGGTTTCCAACCAATTATGTAGCCTGTCGTCAACCTTTGCAACCCGAAAGACAGTTGCATCTGTCAAGTAGGAAAATTAGGTACCACCTTAAAGTGTGGGGAAGCTAAATTAACTAATTTATGAGGACATAAAAAAAGACTCCAGCAAGCATTCCAGAAAAAGCATGCGGGGAATGCGGAAGTACTTCATCAGTGTTGCAAATGGACAATGAAAGCGACAGCTCCCCTGGTGGCAGGAAAAAGTTAAATAGCCTCTGTCTGTGTCTGTATATGTTGTATGTCAAAGTTGGCATTGAATGTTTGCCATATATGTGTACACTGTAATCCGCCCCGAGTCCCCTGCGGGGTGAGAAGAGCGGAATACAAAAGCTATAAATAAACAAACAAATAAATAAATCTTTTACTAAAAAAAACCAACCTTCCCAAAAACTGGGTTGACTTATCCATAGATCAGTGTGAGTACTGCATCTTGAATCTTATAAAAAAGGAACCATACCCTACTCTTGAGTCACAAAAGTTTAGTCTGTTCCAGGAAAACTTAAAAGCAGCATTGACCCCATTTAATCTCTCTGCCAAAATGCCACTTCTGGCCTTACTGAATACCTGGTCAGGTTAATGGAGGTGCCTAGACCTCCATTAGTTGGCATTGGAGCTTTCCCCGCAAAATGACCATCAACGGGTCACATCAAAATCCAGACTATTGCCTCAAAAACATGCCCTCGACTTATACATGAGTAAATACAATAAGTGGAGGATCATAGATTACCTGCTCCTAGAATCATAGAGTTTGAAGAGACCTCATGGGCTATCAAGTCCAACCCCCTGTTATGCAGGAAAAACACAATAAAGCACCCCCAACAGAGGGCCACCAACCCTTTGTTTAAAAGTCTCCAAAGGAGGAGCCTCCACCACATTCTGCTGTTGAACATCTCAGTCAGAAAAAGCTTCCTAATATTCAGGTGGAATCTCCTTTCCTGGATTTGAACACATTGCCCTGAGTTCTAGTCTCCAGAGCAGCAGAAAACAAGCCTGCTCTCTCTTTCTTGTGATATCTTTTCAAATATTTAAACATGGCTATCATGTCCCTTCTCAGCCTTCTTTTCTCCAAGTAAAACACACCCATCTCTTTAAGTTGCTCCTCAAAGGACACGGCGTCCAGACCTTTGACCACTTTAGTCATCCTCCTCTCGTTACAATTCCATCAACAGCCTGGCTGACCTCTTTGTCCCTTTATATCTGGGATGTGCTGGGAATCTTTCAGCTAACTTCAGCAAACTGGTTGAACAGAACAGCAACAGATGAAAAAAGAAAGGAGCCCAACAATTTTTCTTTAGAATAGCTTAGGTTTATTAAATACAATAAATAAATATAGTGACAGCTTTTCTACTGAACAATGCATTGCCTTTAATCCACAAGCTGGCAGAAGATGGCTTAGCGTCTCTCCTGGAAAGTGTGAAGCTTTCCACCAGAACGATGCATGGATCAGGCCGTGCTCTTTGGCACTGAGGTGGCTTGAGACTGTCTAGTCCACAACAGAGACAGTCCATGACAGGCACCAATCCGCCAGACTACTGGCAGGAACAAAGACTGTGCTTTCCCTCCATTAATAAGCAAAACCATAAAAGTAAAACTATTTCTGAAGGTGCTGGGAAGTATGTATAACATTCTAGGCTTTATAATGCATATGAAACAATAATAGCAAAAATCATACATAACGCAGAAAGGTGCTAGGAAGCATTAGATGGCAAAGCTCTCAAGACAACACTCATCTCTCTGGCCACAGGCAAACACCTGCATCAAGGTATTTAAGATTGGAACAAGGCACAAGAAGGATCTTCCATCACCTATACAGACACTAGCACAGAGCCAGACTGAAATAAATATAAGGCCACAAAGCAGTGATTCCAAAAATGTATTTCTATTGCCTCATGTATGCACAGAAATAGGCATCCATATTCATCCGCAGAAACAAGAAAAGGAGCAGAGACTCACATCAAAGTCCTGCCTTCTGTTTAACTGGGGCCCTATGCTGAAGAATGGTTAGCCTAATCCAGGCTTGACTAGAGAGAGAAAAAGAAGGAGTTTCCCTTACATGTCACATCCAAGTGTCGCCTCAGGCTTAAAAGATGATGCTGCCAAAATAAAAACAAAATAGGAAACAAAAAGAGGGATACTGCAAGATGGCGAGAGAGTATAATTCAGCTAGATCTCAAAGAGTCAGCATTGCATTTTTCCTCCCCCAAACCAAAGGAAAAAAGATTTCTCTTCAGAAAGTTATACTAATGCCCAAATGGGAAGCTGGCACAATGCTCAACTAGTAGGCACCAGAGGGCTGGGATTATCAACCCAGGAAAGATAGGTCATCCCCACTGAGGCTTCTTAGGTCCCACAGCTATTGTGGGCCTTTCCCAGATGCAAATGCAAGAAGGGGGAGAGACAGCAGAGTTTGGATTTGGTGCTTTCTCCATAAGCACTGGCGAGGAGCTTCCCAGCCTCTCACTAAAAGATGCAACCCAGGAGAGCAATAAAGCAGGTGGCCCCCTTTTTCATGGTGCCTTGCTGTGTTGTTGTCGCTGCTACCTCCAGTGGGTCTGATAGATGAGTGGGTAGAAGACATTCAGGAAGAGTGCCACAATGGCTGCCATGGTGCCCAGGACAAAGTATCGGACATGGCTTTCATCAGGACACTCTGAGGCAAGGTCCACTGATCCTCGGTTGCCAGACCTCCAAGGGTTCCTCAAGAGCCTCCTGGCAGCTTCCTCTTCTGCCTCCAGTTCCTGCCAGAGCAGAGAAGCCTGCGATGTGGAAACCTGGGTCAGCACGAGAACACAGTGGCACACCCCACAATCACCCATGCTCTGCCCTACCCCTTCCCAGATCTGCCTGCCTGCCTGCCTACCTTTTCTACTATCATAGCCCCATGGATTTCCCCCCACTTCATTGCTAGGCTCCAGCAGCAGGATAGGTTCAGGTCCAGGTGCCTCTCGGGGACAGAGCAAGCAGTGCAAACCACGAGACGATGAAGGGCAAGCCCCAGCTTGCAGAGTGAGGCATCCATGCTGGCTGGCTTGATGGGTTTTTCCCCAGTCTGCAAGTATCAGAGCTAGCTTAACGCTTTCGACAGACTCTGTCACCAAAAAGTCATAGCCTGTCCTTTCTTGTATGCACAGAGGTCATTCAGTTGATCAACCAGTCACCTTGGCTGAGAAACATGAGGATCATTCAGAAACAGCCAACCGCCGCTGAGCTTTTGCTGGTGAGATCTGATTTCAGCCAGTCCCATCCAAACGCTTGCTGGTGAAGATCTTTCATAAGGATGACAGCTAATCAACAGCTTGGCAAGTGAAAAACCATTTGGCATGCCCAGAGGTGATCGCTAATCATAGCGCCTTTCTCTCACTCTTTCTCTTTTAATTAGACAGATGCAAAGGAGGAGTCAGCCACAGGGTAACCAGTCACAGACCAGATCTTTCAGGACAGTCCCCTAAGCACATTGATTTGCCTAGTGAGTTTAAGGAAACCTTAGTCCATAGCATCTTCCCCCATTCTGTCTCCTTGGATTTATGAGTAGCGAGTGTTGCATTCAAAGCTCTCACTTTCTAAGGTTGATTGGAAAGGGTGAAACTGGGAATAGTCTGAGGGTGCTAGTCTCACAATACATGTCAGGTGCCAAAGTTTTCAGGCCTGAAGGGAATCTTGGTCAAAGTATCAGGCCCTTCTCTGGCAGCTTCTTTGGACAGTTTGGCCTCTGTCTGCCCCTCCTCCCTTGGCCATGTCACTCCTATTAGATTTGGTCTGCTGGGCATTCAGGCTCAGCAAATTACTGTGTTCACCAGCTTCAATGAACTAGAGGCAGGAGGCAGAGAAAAGACAAGAACAAGCTGGCCTGCCTCACAGTACAGGCCTGAATGCAGCCCAGTTTAAGCCTTTGCCCAGGGTGTCTTCCTAGGAAGAATATCAATACAGCACCTGACAACAACACCCAGGGGTATGACATTAGGACCTGCTATACTCATATCTGGGAGGCTCCTTTGGTGGATTGTGCCAAAAACCTCAGTGCTAGTACATTATCTGCTGGATCCATAGCATATGAATGGTAGGAAGCAGTGTAGTGAGGGTGGAAGAATAGGAAGGGTCTCCTAAATCAACATCCTATAGCTAGAACCACCAAGAATGCTCAGAAGCCCTCACTCCAAGGGTATCTGACTCCAAACAACTCATTTTACATAAGATTTCCTGCTGTCTGTTCCCCAAAGTTCACTCGTGATGGTCCTCCTCCATACTGATAGGTTTTTCTGCTCCAGCCAGCTAAAACTCAGCAGGCTCCTCTGAGCCAGTGCAACCATGTTTCTCCTGGGAGACATGTGTGACAGTCTTTCAGGTCTTTTCCTCAGTTTTAAGCAAATGCAACTTCCCAGGATGCAACAGTTGGCCAACAATACCCATAGCCCCACCACTGCCCCAGAAGAGCTGTAAGCGGGAGCCAGCAGATACTTCCAGTACTGTCAGCAGTAATACAGTCAGTTTTCTTAGGCTCACACCTCATAAGATACCTCAAGGTGAATAGGGATCAAAAGACAGCCCCCAGAAGCTCTCACCTGATTGGCTGCTGCCTCAGCAGAGGAAGCCAAGTCAGCCCGAGGGTCCGAGGGGTGAGGTGGCCCTCTTGGGGGTCTCTCTACAGGAGAGTTCCGTCGACGGTAGAAGAGCACATAGGCATATCGTGTCACCACCTGGCTTTCATCTACTGTAGTGACTGTACTGTCATCAAAGAGCCGCCAACCTGCATAAGGTAAAGAAAGGGAGGAAAAAAAGAAAGAGGTAAGCATTCTCTCTAATATGCATATCCTTTTCACACTTTGCAGAGACATAACTGTCTGTTCAGAGTCTTCTTCAAACTCACAATAAGGCAACAACATTCTCCCTGCCACATCTCAAAACTCTTGAGGAAAGAGCCAGACATCTTAGCTGCCATTTACCTAAATTAAGTTATAACCTGAAAATGCATGGCTATTGACCTTCTCCTTGCTATCAAATCAGCATTCAATGGGAGTTTTACTGATAATTTTGATCTTGAAGGAGCTGGGGGTAGGGCAGCCAACAGGGAAGCTCTGGCGTCGGATGGTCCATGAGGTCACGAAGAGTCAGAAGCAACTGAACGAATAAACAACAACTAATAATTTTTTCAGTTCCCCAAAGTGTAAAAGACCTTCCACTAAACTCAATCCTGGAGGACAAAGGAAACAACTGCAGCCAAGTCCGTCAGTTCTTTCAGGTCAGATTGTTCTTCAATATGGCAGAGGCAGCCTATCAGGCACCAAGCTCATTTCTCTTGATTTTTCCTTCTAACTGAGTATCACAATATACAAAGAAATGTCCTGAAAAAAAGTATCCCTGAGTATCTTTCTCCTCATTCCCCCAATAGGCAGAGCTATGACGAAGAGCTTAGCAGGCATTCGTATTTGCAAGGGAGATCTTTCCTAGTTTGAGCTACCTTAGCTCTGAGAAGAAAGATGCCAGCCGAGATTTGTTTTCAAGAGTAACTCAGGTAGCAAACCCTGATTCAATTTGGGCTACAATTCCCAGAACTTCCCTGCCAATAGTGGAGGCTTCAACTCAAAACCGTAACTATTCCAAGCTCTATATAGCCCAAGTCACACTGAAGACATTTCCAATCAAGGCTGGAGAGCTTTTAAGTTCGAAACCCACCTTCAGGCCTGGCAATGTAGAAGAAAAGCCTGCATGCAGCACCATCACAACTCCAGATGAACCCAAGCAAAGGAAGGGCATCTAGGGTATCAGGTGATGATTCTGCTCCAGTCCTCCCACCGCAGGCAGGGGGTTTGCCTGTCAGCTAAACCCCCTCAAGAGAGTACTTAGTTACTAGTAAGTGCAGGTAATTATGTCAGCTTCTCTCTCCTTGTGCTTGTTACCCACAATCCCCTATGTGTATGTATGGCACCCAGCTAGCCTCTTAATAGCCAAGGGATCACATTTACACCTTCCCTTACTCACCCACGTCACTACGCTGGCTGTTCTTGTCACTGGGCAATCGGGCATAAGCTGTGTAGTGCCCGCCAATCATGCCTCCATAGTGATTAATAACTGCATACAGATCATACATAGGTAGCTGCTGCTCATCCTTCTGACCAATACAGAACTTGCTCAGGTCCAAGCTCCTGAAGGGAAGAAACAGAACAAGTTAGGTAGATAGGTATATATAACTGCACATCTGACTAAATAAAACCCAATTCCATACCTCTCATTTGCTTCTCAGAGGATGCCCAGATTCCAGATGGATGGAACTCCTGTGTGCATGTTTATTAGAGCTCACCCTGTTTCAATAGTTCATGGCAGTCCACTGAGCTTAAATAAGACGGAGTACAGGCAGTCTCCAAGTTACAAACAAGATAGATTCTGTAGGCTTGTTCTTTTTTTTTAAAATATTCTTTATTGGTTTTAAAATACAGTTACAAATACAGATACGAATATAAATATACATATATAACGTACGGAAGTAGGGGAGCGGGGGGACAAGGAGGGAAGGAGTGAAAAATGGGGGTGGGAGGGGGGAAGGGGAAGGAGAGGTAGAACGGAGATAGGAAAGGGGATAGAGAAGGGGAGTTCTTAAGTTGAATTTGTATATAAGTCAGAACAGGTAATTTTTAAAATTTTAACTCCAGCCAAAAATCTGGATTTTTTTAGCTTTGGCTAGCACAGGGAAGCATTAACAGCCCTGTGGTGTTTCTTTCGCTTTCTAAGATTCCTGTTCAGAAGATTACATCTCACTTTCTGTCCCTTGACAACTGGATTTTGAAAAAAATGGCTTGTTGTGAAAACAAGGATTGGTGGTAAAGCTTCAGCAGAGAAACTTTTTGAAATGATAACTCTTTCAAGGAGTGAATTTCCCTTCCGAGGGGTAAATTTCTTTCATTTCTGTTGTCTCACCCCCATTCTTAACTATGGGTGGTTTATAAGTTGGGTGTTTGCAACTTGAAGACTGCTTGTAGTATGAGGGAACAAAGCTGAGTGCCAGAGAACACACATTTTGCATACTGAAATTCCTGGTATCTCCAACCCACAGAACCAGGCAATGGGAAAAGCCGCGGTCAGTTGGACTAGTCATTACGCCAGGGTGAGCTCTAACTAAATAAGCACAACATATGACAGGAATAATGCCTCCTCCATAGTACAGAAAAACATTGCCATTTAGCTGCTATACATATATCAGCTTATGCTCACTTATGGTCAAAGCCTCAAGTGCCCAACTTAACCAACGCAACAACTTGCTTTAAAGCAGACTGCTCCATATCTAGACAGTATCAGGCTACTTTCCATAAAGGAAAAGAAAGAAACCCTGAAAGGCACAAACATAAAAATGTGACTTGGATCAAAACCTTTGATGACTTAATTAAGAACCTTTTGCAACTATAGGAATAGAAATTTGTAGTCATTCAAAGATCAAATAAATTTATATAATTTGGGTATACTTTTGACAGTGGTTGGGAGGATACTCCCACTGCAGAAGAACAAAAATGGATGAAAATTCTTGGATGCTACCCATGAATATTTTTGCATTTGAAGTAAATTGTTGCTTGTAAACAGAGAGGAATGTCTTCCAGTTTTTTAAAGATACTGCTGCCAAGTAATTCTTTTGTTTCCAACAGTGTCTCTTACTCCTACTGCAGTTCTATCCTCCCTTTAAGATAGTAAGGTCACTCTGACAGCAACCAACCCATTACTCAGCACAAATCATAGCAAACCATTCATGCAAAAGAGTTCACCAGAAAACTTCACACAGCCTGACCATAAATCGCAGTAGATAACTCTGATTCAAGGACAGGGCCAACAAAGAGCTATGACGGTTGATCCAGACCAGGAATCAGTAGCTACTCAAGGAACTATGGCTCTGACATGTGTGCAATATCCAAATGGCATCCAAAAAGCAAATAGCAACACACCTGACAGGGAAGTCCACCATATCATTGATCTTGTCCCTCCAAATAAAGCTACGGAAGGAGAACCGCTTGAGCTGTATGATGAGGACATTGGGCAGACGCCACAACATGAGTTGCTTAGATGCTTCGCGGTGCTGCTTACACTTTGGGCAGTACCTACAGAATAGGGGTAAGAAGAGAGCACACATTAATATCCCCTGCTGATAGCTCCAGGGGACTGAATTGTCTTTGCTATCTTTTGTATTTCTGCATTATTGAGGACAGCCTTGGCAGTGTCGTTCAAGTTTCTGGACTCAAAAAACCAGAACACAAAAGAGAAACCACAATGAAGTTCATTCTGTGACAGCAAGGATGCTTAAGAAATCCTGAATGATACCCAAGATAGCTGGTCTGATTAAGGAGAAACCAAATGACAGATCTCACAAAAGCTGCACTGAACATTTTACGTTATTTTACAGGGGAAAAATGTACCTGTATTTTTGATTCCATGGTCTTGATTGTCTGATGGGGATGACTTAGGAAAACAGTCTGGTCAAGTAATTTAGGATGTTTCAAGCTATTAAGACCTGAGGATCTCAATAAGCTGTACAGAAACCTGAAGCCTATTACCTGTTCTCTGGACTTTTGCCATTTCTGGGTAATAAAGCTCTGAAAATAGCAGCAGTAAATCTACTGATGAAAATAAAGAAGATTGAATCCGATGGTCAAAGAAATATTCTGAAACAGGTGGCAATGTTTCAAGCCAAGGGCCTCCCTGGCTGAGGATTCCAAAGGCCCTGCCCTAAACTACATTTCCCAGAATTCTGCAGGAGTAAATCGGGTGATAGCAAAGCAGGCATCTCCACTTTAGAACGCTAATGTGATATCGCCCTCAGAGAGTAACTGATAATTTGGATCCATGTCAACCTGATTTTGGGTCTAGCTGTAAGATAGTCAGTATCTTCCTGGTAGATTTTATTATTTATTAATTTATTCTATTTGCATCCCACCTTTCTCTACCCCAAAGAGGACTCAAGGTGGCTTTACATATGACAACAATTCAATGCCTTTGAACAACAAACAGTTAAAATACATTCAGTTAAAGATTTAAAATTAAATGCATATTAAAAACATATAAAATATTACAATCACTATTAAAAATCACACCATCCACTATCATAATCTGGGGCCATTACAAAAGTCATTGCACATAATTCCGTACTGTAGTTAATCTCCAAAGACTAGATGATTTATATTAAGTAATTGATAGGGTGAGGGATAGATGATCCCATTTCCTTTTCCTATCTGTGCCAGTGATGCTGAAAGACTTCTTTTCTACCTCATGGCTTTTGATACACCACAGAGTGCTATTGTTTCTCTTTTGCTGTTTATTATCTACATCAGTGGTTCTCAACCTGGGGTCCCCAGATGTTTTTGGCCTTCAGCTCCCAGAAATCCTAACAGCTGGTAAACTGGCTGGGATTTCTAGGAGTTGTAGGCCAAAAACATCTGGGGACCCCAGGTTCAGACCACTGATCTACATGAAGCCATCAAGGAGGATTGAAAGGTTTGGGCTAAAGTGTTGTCCGTATGTGAACAATACAAATCTCTACCTGTTATTTTGATTTTGTTTATTTATTTATTTTTTTATTAACATTTCTATCTCAAAAGGGTTCACCAGAATGCATCTGGAACATGGCCATACAGCCCGGAAAACTCACAGCAACCCAGTGATTCCGGTCATGAAAGCCTTTGACAACACATTTTTACTTAAACACAGTTACATCTTAGGTGGATTACTGAAAGGTCATCTAGTATGGCTGCCTCTGAGTACAGTTCAAAAGCTTCAGATAGTAGAAAGTGCTAATTGTCCATGGCAAATGTTATGTCTACCTTATACTGACACCATAGTCTATTTTTAAAATTTGGCATGCAATTTGATATCCAATGTATGCAATGCTTCAGCCTACAGAGAAACCATCCCAAATCTCTTCCTCACCAGGCCTCCTCTGGGGCTAAGACCTCTGGCTTGGTGAAGAGGTTGAGGCACTGTTCAAGGGTGAAGTGTCCTGCCCTGGCAGCTTCACTTGCAGAGCCTGGATCTTCCACACACTCCAGGTCCTTGGACTCAACCAGCACAAACTCCTTCATCCGCTCATTATTCTTCCAAACCAAGGCCAGAGAACAGTCATCTGTCAGGTCCAGTGGGATATCTCCTGTAAGGTACAGATGGTTACAGATGTTGATGCCTATCTTTCCCATTAGGCCAAAAAGAAATAAGCACCACGCAAAAAAAAAAAAAAAAACCCAACACCATTTTGTTTTAGACCTGTGATTTCCAACCTGTGGTCCGCAAAAACGAAAATATGGTTCACAGCCCCACCATTACTACACCGTTGCTTCGAAACCACGTGGCAATGACATTGACTGGTCTCGTGAAACCCTCTTATAGTGTCAAGGCAATGGGGATGTCAGGAAGGGAGAGGCTGACTACCCACAAAATATTACTACTATCACATCAGCTCTAGATTATTAAATATGGTTTTCTGTAGGTGAGCAGATGGCGACTACTGGATGACATATGTTCTGTATTAGAAACTAGAGCTTATGTGGTCTATTCAATGCAAGTTTCTGAATCAGCATCCCAAATAACCACACTGAATCTAAAGTTGACTAATAATGGATTTGTATTCCTTTTGGTACTAAAGTTGGAGAGTGGTCTCTAGTCAAAAAAGGAAGGGGACACTGGTGGCACCAATTTTACTCTCAACAGCACTTTGAAGGCATGGATATTTTCAAACACTACTTTTTGTATATCCTAACAATGAAGCAGAATAATAGTAACCTGAGCATTTAAAACCAAAGAAAAATTACAAGATATTTCATCCCTCCAAAGTTTTGAGGAAAATTCCACTGGACCACATTTTGGTATACCGGATTAATGGTTGGATAGAACACGAAGGTCACCAACAATGAAAGCTTGTTGGGGGAGTGTGGGAAAGAGATAGGCAGAATGCATGAATAAAGGCACATCAGGCTCTCATTATTTGTTTCTGCAACTGTGTAGCACAGGACAATGTGAGCTATGCAACAAGAGAAGTTACTAATTTTGGCTCTCAGGACTGTACTTTCTATCTCAGAACAAGTACTGGCTTGGACCCAACTTTAGGGTGGATGGTTTTTATGCCATTTGAACTTGACCTGTAATTAAATATTCAGGGGATATGATGTTTTTTTATTGATGATGATTTTTATTATTATTGTTATGATGAATATTGGTTATAATTAATAATTAATACTTCTTTTTAAAAATATGTATTTATTTATTGAAATAGACATACATTTTAAGTGTTTGTTGCGTACAGTGCAATATTTTCCAGCTATTCGTGTTTCGTAATCATTTTTCAGATAGTATCTTTTTTTTAAAAGGTCACAGGCTTCTGTTTGAATAGTGCACATAAAGGCATCACAGACTCTTCCACCTTGTCCATTGTCTTATAGGATCCCCTATGTACATTTTAAGTTTAATTTTACATTGAGATGCTGAATCACTGGTTGCCATTCATTAACAAAGTTCTAATAGTTCTCCTCAAGAGTACAATTATTTTGTCCACTATTAGCAAATTGTTGTTGTTGTTTATTCATTCGGTCATTTCCAACTCTTCTGTGACCTCATGGACCAGCCCATGCCAATCTGTAATGTGTATTTTTCCCATTTTTCTAAGGGAGCTACCTCTGAGGTTTTCCAATTATCATATACTATTTGGGCTGCCAGTCATATAAAACAATTTTTCTGAATTTCCTTTCTAGTTCTGCATCTGGCATGTTCAAAAGGTACATTTGTGGAGTCATTTTGAAATGTGTGTTTAACATCTTTTCGAAATATATATCAATTTGTTTCTAGTAGTTTTTTACTTTGTTGCACATCCACATGAGGGAAAATGTGTCTTTTTCTTTCCCACATTTTCAACATTTGTCGGTGCAATTGTATATCTTTGCTAGTCTCTGGAGGGAGATACCAATATAGACACATTTTGTAGACATTTTCCTTCAGGTTCTGACATGCCATGTATTTCGTTCTTCTCTTCCATGTCTTTTTGGGGACCTGACATTTAAGTGTGGCAATGCTTACAGAACTATCAGAAATTGGGGTGCAGGTGATATTCCTAGAGGTTTTTGATATTTTGCATAGTTCTGTGCTGCTTCCCTTAACAACCAGAATAATGCAAAATATATGTGGATTTGCATATATCATACAGTTCCTAGACTTCAATATCTGATGCAAAATTTCCATGAGCTTAGCCTGACAGATGTACAAACCAAATATATTTATATAGAATAGAAATCATAGTTTACATCTAGTTTACACCCATGTTCTTAAAAGAGTATGATGCACTGGTTTAACAGATTAGATCTGGTCAATATTACAATTGGTATGGCTCTCCCCCAAAAAGTAATCCCATTTTTTAAAAAAATCACTATCTTCAGAAAAGCATACTCTTTAAGTTTTAAGCCTCACCTTTATCCTCCAGTTTCTGTTCTTTGCTGGAAGCATCAATCTTGTTGATGTAAAACTGGGTAACATGGGAACTTAGGCCCTCTGATGGATGCTGGTAACCAGGGATGGCAGCTGGAAGCAGGCAGAAGATGCAGCCGGCAACAGAAAGGCAACAACAGGAAAACTTAGGCCTCCAAATTTCTCTCTCTTTTAAGTTCAGAATGTGAAACTATTAAGTGCTTCATTTATACTGCATTGGGACGCATGTTTTACTGTAACTCAGATGTTCTATACTAAAATTATCAATGTAAAAAAAGTTCTATAAATTCTGGTTTGTTTGGAGGGAGTATGCAGGCTAGTCCAGGCATGGGCAAGCTTCGGCCCTCCAGGTGTTTTGGACTACACCTCCCACAATACCAGGAATTATGGGAGTTGTAGTCCAAAACACCTGGAGGGCCAAAGCTTGCCCATGCCTGGACTAGCGGCATGCACACAATCATGCACTGTAATATCAATTAAAGTGTGATAGTTACTGCTCAAATCCCATTTTAAAATAGCCAAGACAACACTAAGGATTTAAGTGAAATAAAGTATTAGCAGCTCTTAACAGGAAGATTCATGTTTTCAAGCAGAATGGGCTAAGTCCAAATACTGTCCCACAGGTAAAAGGGGAACATATGGAACAGATGCACCCTATAGATCAGGCATCCTCAAACTGTGGCCCTCCAGCGGTTTGGGCCTCCAACTCCCAGAAGCCCTAACAAGCGTGTTCAATTGTCAGGAATTCTGGGAGTTGAAGGTCCAAACATCTGGAGGGTCGCAGTTTGAGGATGCCTGCTATACATAGCTGAGACCTCTGAGAAGCAGACAAAACAGTTGAGTGGCCCAGGCTCAGGACAGTATCCGTTACTTGTCAACCATACTGCATTCTTACAGTTCAGCAGCACCTACCACACACATATCACTCCACATTTACACAAATATAATGCACCATTGAATGAAATGCACACCTCATTTCATTCAATGCACAAAAAGGTAAGCATGAGGCTCGAGCAAATATGGTATTTCCTTGACTCTACTTTTGGTCTTGAGGGACATGGGAGGAGACAACAAAATGCCAACTATACAAAATTGCTTTCCACTGGAAGTGACATCTGTGTATTTATCCTTTGGGTTGCTGTGAGTTTTCTGAGCTGTATGGCCATGTTCCAGAATTATTATCTCCTGACATTTCACCCACATTTATGGTAGGCATCCTCAAAGGTTGTGAGGTATATCGGAAACTAAACAAGGAAGGTTTATATCTGTGGAATGTCCAGGGTGGGAGAAAGAACTCTTGTATGTTGGAGGCAAGTGCAAAAGTTGCAATTAATCATCTTGATTAGCATTACAAAGCCTTGTAGATTCAAGGCCTTGAAGCTACAAGGCCATTAAATGCTCTTCAAGGTGGCCAATTGCAATATTCGCACCTGCCTCAAACAGACAAGAGTACTTTCTCTCCCCCCCCCCCCCCGACACTCCACAGATATCTAAACCACATTTGCTTAGTTTCCAACAGACCTTACAACCTCTGAGGACACCTGCCATAGATGTGGGTGAAATGTCAGGAGAGAATACTTTTGGAACATGCCATACAACCCAGAAAACTCACAGCAACCTAGTGATTCCAGCCATGAAAGCCTTTGACAGCATATTTATCCTTTGTCTGCAATCTCAGTTCCTGGTGCCAAACCCCTACAGAGCTGCAAAGACAGAAGGATCATGGTGGCACTGGAACCCCCTGCAAAAGGAAAAGCTGTGGGATTTTGAAAGGGTCACTTGCTTACCTTCAGGCTTGGAGGCTCTTGGTAGTTCCATGCAAGGCAGCTCCATGCAGGTGTCAGGCCGCGAGGCCACCAAAGTCTCAGGCACGCCTGAATCCAAGTTCAGACCTGAGCTTCTTCCTGGGGTGATCTTGCTCCTCACAGCACTGGCATCCCCCAATTCAGGCTGTAGTTCAGGGCCAGAGAAAGACGCCTGGGGTTCTGGCAAGAGGTGTGGGGCCCTAGCACCATCTCCTGACTCCAGAGTGGTAGTGCTGTCACTTGTAGCAGAAGCAGTTGCACTACTATTCCTGGCAGAAGGTTCTTGTTTCTCAGGATGCTGTAACCCTTGTTCAGGTGACATCCTGCCCATCTGGAAGGGTGGCTGAAATACACTGACTGAGTATCTGCGTAGGGAGAAGAGACAAGCAATCAGAATGAGTTCTGAAACATCTGAATGAGAAATATACTCCCAGTACTCCAGGATATAACTTGGTTGTCAGGGAGCAATCACTGCAAATCTGACCAAGAATCCTGTCAATACTTAGAATCATGGAAACATAGAGTTGAAAGAGACCACATGGACCATCCAGTCCAACCCACTGCCATGCAGGAACAGTACAATCAATGCACTCCCGACAGATGACCATCCAGCCTCTGTTTAAAAGACTCCAAAGTAGAAACTTCCACCACACTCTGAGGCAGAGAGTTCCACTGTTGAACAACTTTTACAATCAGGAAGTTCTTCCTAATGTTCGGGTGGAATCTGTAATTTGAATCCACTGCCCTGAGTCACAATCTTGCTTATGATACTCATTCAAATAATTACATGGCTATCGTGTCTCCTCTCAACCTTCTCTTCAGCAGGTTAAACATACCGAGCTCTTTAAGCCGCTTGTCATAGGGCATGGTTTCCCTTATACTTTGGCAACCTTACCTTGCATAACCTTCCAGAAGCTGGGCTAGCCGTGCATAGGTGAGGCGTGACTCTGGAACACTGATGAGGAAGGGGAAGCCTATGTTCTCAGGGCGGCACAACGTTTTGTGGTCAGACCAGTGGGTTCTCTGGCACACTCTGAAAACACACCAACAAAAACATCTCATGCAGGAGCCACATACACTCCTCCTGCTCCCAGCTCATCCATCCTAGAAGCAAAACTGCCAATGAATAAAAAAAGGGGTACTTACACATTACAGTAGCCAACACGGTAGCACCGAGTACAGCGCTTCAGCTTCTCCTCTTCTGACTGCTGCTTCTTCTGACAAGCGGCACATTTGGTGATGGGCACGCTGGTCACCTGAGGACGCTGAGAGGAAAGAGAGTGCCCACCTGGTCAGGCCTATCTTAAATGCCCCTCCAGTGATACAGCGTAAGATTCACCGTGTACTCAAACCACCCACACATTCCAAGAAGCAAACGTTTATCTGTTCGACAAGCTCAGCCTCTGTCATCTCTACTGAATGCTTTACCTGTTGAACTTGCAGCTCCACCACCCGCTCCTTGGCCAGGTCTGGAGAAAGCACCTCAAAGCACAGCAGAAGGTCTGAGGGAGAGACTGCATCCAATGAGTGGGAAGGCAGGAACATGCGATGGAATCGGTTCTTGATTACCTGACCAAAGAAAACAGTGTAAGGTTTTGCTTGACAAATGTCTTTGTTCTGGGGACAAAGTAACAGACAGCATATAGCTGAGGAACATACAGGGTGAGGCAGCATAACTTCTTTTTTTAAAATGCGTGCCATTCAGTCGGTTGAAGACATAGTGGAGCGCTAGTGGTCTCGTTCGAGAGGCGGGAGTATAAGGTTTTGTCCTGACACAGTTCAGTCGCCATCATGCGTTGGAATAGTGAGGAGAGTGCTTTTGCCGTTGAGGCCTACTTTTCGTGTGGATTTGGAGTGGCCGGCCCACTCTCCAAATTTGGCCCCTTGTGATTTTTTATCTATGGGGTTTTTTGAAATCCCGTGTTTATGTGAACCGTCCAAGGACCCTCCAAGATTTGAAGACCAACATCCAGGAAGAAATTGCCAACATAACGCCTGCTATGCTGGCAAGAGTCATGACAAACACCAGAAATCGGTTTACTCAGTGTATGGAGAATGGAGAATGGGGGATGTCACCTACCTAATTTGATCTTCAAAACTACCTAAAACAAAACTTTAGGTATGCACCTACGTTATAAAAAAAAATCTGATTCATACAATGGGTTTTATTAAGTTTTGAAAAAAGGAAGTTATGCTGCCTCACCCTGTATATGTCAGGCCCGCACAACTTGTGTTCCTCCAGGTTTTAGGACTCCAACTGCTAGACACCCTAGTCAGCTTGTCCGACAGTCAAGGATTCTGGGAGTTGGAGGCTCAAATACTCAGACAGCTGCAGATTGTGCAGGCCTGGTATATGCATTCCTCAGATACCTTTATAGCAGGCGTGCGCAAACTTCGGACCTCCAGGTGTTTTGAATTACAACTCCCACAATTCCCAACAGCCAGTAGGCTGTTAGGTATTGTGGAAGTTGTAATCCAAAACACCTCATGCCCATTCTATAGGGTGCACCTGGGCGGCTAATGATACAGAAAACTCTACAAATGATGAGAAAGCCACACAAAAGGAATGACTATATTTGTCATCATGAAAGAAAACTTCAGAATTACGACCAGAATTTGCAAAAGTTAATTTTGTGGATCATAACTCTCAGATTCTCTCAGCCAGCATGGCAAGCACTAATGCGGTCTTGGGAATTCTGTGAGCTGCACTCCGATGCACTTCTGATTACCAGGTGATCCCTATGCAAGAGAGAATGCAATGCTAAACAAACAACTGGCATGATCCAATAAGTGAATCACAGTGAAAAAGCTGACTGAAACAAAATGTTACTGCATGAAATGCTCCTGTTCAGCATTTCAATCAATCCGACATGCCTTTTAAAAAAGGTATTTCCTTTTAGTCTTCATTGCTGTCTCATAAAACGTATCACATGCCTTCCTGCCTACAATAGCCAATCAGCATTATCATGACTATTAAGCATAAGGAATTTCTTGGGTTCCCAATCCTATTAAGGTATAGTATTTCCCTTTTCCATCAATCTCTGGATTCCTTCTCATAGCTCCTTCTTTTCCATGCAGTTCTGGTTACACAGTGAACTATACAATGAGTTTGCTAGTGGCCTACAGGACTATGCTTGCGGCAATGAAGCCACATCAGAGACAGTCCAATGTGAAAGAAAGGTGGAATGAAAGAACAAAAGTGGAAAAGGAACGAAAGCAGGTAGGGGTGGAGGCTGGCGCTCAACTCCATTCTGAAAAAGGTAAAAAGAAGGGAATATCTAATTCATTTGCATAATAATAATAATAATAATAATAATAATAATAATAATAATAATAATAGATTTCTAGACCGCCCTCTCTCCCTGGAGGTACTCAGGGCGGTTTACATGTAAAAAGGCAAACATTTAATGCCTCAAAATGTCAAAACACATCAAATAATACAAAATAATGAAGAATAACAGAAAATTTACAACATGGAATTAAGCATCACAATTAAAAGAAAACAAAAACAATCCATTAAGACATAAAACCTAAAACATAATTAAGCATTACAATGTACACCCTAAAAACAAATTATGAGGCATTACATTAAAAATGGCTGACAACAGTGTTTAAGACATATCATTACAGCCATCTAATAAATGTAGATTAGCCAGCAGTCTTAATCTTCCTCCTCTCCATATGCAAAAGGGCGTAGATACATTTTTAGAAGTTTCTTAAAGGAGAGGAGGGTGGGGCTGTTTTTTATTTCTTTAGGGAGTTCCAGACATGTGGAGCAATCACGGAGAAGGTCCCCTCTCTTGTTCCCATCAACTGAGTTTGTGATGCAGGTGAGACTGAGACTGAGAGCCTCCTCTGTAGACTGCAGTGCATGCAATGGTCTATACAGGGAGATGCGATTGGACAAATAGCCTGGATCCAAGCCGTTTAGGGCTTTATAGGTAACGACCAGCACTTTGTATTTAGCTCGGAAGTGGACCGGCAACCAGTGGAACTGCCACAGCATGGGAGTCGTCCTCTGATGATAGGGCACTCCAGTTAGCAATCTAGCTGCCAATCTCTGAACTGCAGCTTCCGAACTATCTTCAAAGGCATCCCTTGTAGAGAGCATTGCAGTAGTCCAAATGGGATGTGATTAAGGCGAGGTCTACCATGGTCAGGTCTGGCGTCTCAAGGTATGGGTGCAGCTGGCGCACAATGTTTTGCTGTGCAAATGTGCTCCTGGCCACCACTGGCACCTGGGATTCCAGGGTCAACTATGAATCCAGGATCACCCTTAGACTACGAATCTGTGTCTTCAGGGGGAGTGTGACCCCCGTCTAACACATGTTGAAATCCCACACCCTGATCCACCTTACGACTGACCAGGAGTACCACTGTATTGTCTGGATTTAGTTTCAGCTTGTTGGCCCTCATCCAGTCCATTACTGATGACAGGCATCGGTTCAGGATCAGAATGACATCCTTGGCATTGGGTGGAAAGAAGTAATAGAGGAATTGACTGCTCTCCAGGCCCTTAGTTTGCCAAGCCAACATTTAATCAGTAAGACCTGCACTGTGAAAATAGCAATACAGAAAATGAGATAGAGACTGCCCAAATGCCGGGGAACAAACCCGACGTCATCTAAGCTCTACTTGTACCTTTGTGACTACAAGAGGACATGTTGTATTCACACATACATCATACAGGAAATGGAACGGTAAAAAAAACACCTAATTTTGTAAATGTATAAGGATACTATTATTTATTTATTTAAAACTTTTGTAATCACCTCAGCCAGACGCAGGTTCTCAGGATTCACTCGCACGCTATGGGACACAGAGTCCAGCACCTCCATGGCTGTGGAGTTCTCCTTGCTGATGCTCACAAGGAACTAATGGAAGCGAACAAACATGGAAGGGTGGAGTAAATATAAGGTTGTGTAGCCAAGACAGTGGTTTACTCAAATTCTTTTTGCAAAACAATTACATCTCTAAGGAAGTTCTGAACTGCTAACTAACTCTCCTCTACACAATGCTTATTACTCTGGCAGTGGACTCTCTTTCATGTGCAGGAAATACAGTAATAAATTACAGTCTAAAGTTACAGTTCTTCACCACTCTATCCTCATAGAATCAGAGTTGGAAGAGATTACACCAGACATCCAGTCCAACCCGCCGCAATGCTGGAAAAGGACAATCAAAGCACCCCGACCATCTAGTCTCTGTTTATAAGCCTCCAAAGGAGCCTTCCCCCTGCTACTCAAACAGATTTCAGGGGAAGATTGAAAAAAGAGGACAGAGGCTTGCCATTTTTTCCATTCTTTTCTTCACCCTAAGCAGTTCAGTGCTTTATTTTTCTCTGACATTTTACTAGCTGCCTTAGCTGTAGGAATGAGGCAATGTTAGTGATGTTCTTGAGCCACCCAATTGTTGGTTGATGGTAGTAGTGTTGCTCTCTATCGTCTCTTCTTCATGGCCACAGAGACTGGAATTGATAGATCTGTGAAGGACTAGCACTGGAACCATGGCAGTTAAAGTAGAATCATAGTGCTGCAACTGTGTGCTATGGGAGAGTCCTCAGAGGGATGTCATGCTGCGATCTGTACCAGAGGTTCACACCAAAAGTCCCTCACCCCTGTAATCCCCAATCATCACCCGATCACTTCTCCACACCTTAAAATCACAATAGAAATGTACCGGTTCCAGAATGTACACAGTGTACCAAGAATGTGGCTCTATGCTAGCACTTTCTTCCAGTAGCATTAACCTCTGTTGTCAAAACAGTGAAGCGGTGTTCAGTACAAAGAACTACAACTTTCTGGACAGATCTGACACCCAAAACCTTTGCTTCTGGATTAGATGTTGTCTCCAAACCTTAAATAATTTGAGAGGACCCAAACTTCCTTGTTTGCCATTTCCCCTTCATGCTCTGAAAGACCTTTTCTATTTTCTACACTGTGAAAGCTTTTATTGTGCCACAAGAAGACAATAAATCAAAAGTATGAATTGTGCTATTATTTCTTATAAGTGGTAAGGCTTGTTTGATTTGGTGTGCTTTGAATAACTAGTCTCTTGTATCATTGTTGTTGCCATTATTACATCATCATCATCATCATCATCATCATCATTATTATTAAATCCAGAGTTGTTTAAAACATGTAATGAAGATACCATCCAAACTGACAGCTTCTCTTACCTTGACAGGTTTCTTGTGGGGTTCCTTTGCAAAATAATAAACCGTTAGGACTTTCTGCTTCTGGGGAAGGGGGACTGGCAAATACAAGAAGGGATCAAATGTGATGGACACCTGCAAGCAAAATATTTGGCAATCAGTGCACACTCAATGGCTATCTTATACCATGCTGAAAGCATTGGCAAACACCGCAGAAAAAACCATCCAGAAATAATGAATCTGGACTTAGGAGAGACTGGTTCAAGTAACAAGATAGACATGTCATCCAGAAAAGAGCAATAACCTTGGCAACCAGCCATAGACATCAGAATGAATGGGTAAAAACTAAGGAAACACACAGCTAAAATAAAATAAGTCTTAATCTATCAATAAGGACATTCTTCTAACACCCCCTCCTTCAAACCAGCAATGGAACAGATGTGAGGATGCCCACAGCTAGGAAGAATCCCAAAGCAGTTCTCTACCTTTGAGCATACAGGACACACTAGCTTGGACTTGTACTGGCCCTGGAAGAGGTCCACAATGAAGGAGTCATTCCTCATTTTGTGCCGGTGCCAGGCCTCTTCTGCAACAACCTATGAGTAAAAAATATATATATGAAGATGAGCAACTAAGGTATGAACAAAGAGTATATAAAATATCTTACTATCCCAGGCCCTCTCCTGCTTGAATTAGGGCCCTTCTCATGATAAGAGACTCACCTCATCTGGCCGTCCATCTGAGTCCACTGTTTCTGTGTAGGGCTTGTTCTGGATGCGGTTCAGATCCTCATGTAGCCCATCCAACAGAAAAGCCATGAATTCTTGGGCATCATGTTGAGCATAACCTGTAAACTGGCTTGCCTTGCTGGCCACAATTGCCTAAAAAAAAGGGTTGGGAGACATAATGAGCCACCTGCCTGTGCCAGATATCACTCAAAGGATTGTATGATTTTATAATGTTAATGTCGATGTTTTTAGCAGGTGTTTTAATGTGTATGTTTAATTTGATTGTAATACATAGCATTGAATTGTGCCTTTATGTGTGTCACTCTGAGTCTCCCTCGGGGTTGAGAAGGGCGGGATAGAAATATGGCAAAGAAATAAAGGACCACCGCTTTCTCTCTTTCCAGGACTGGCAAGAAAGGAAATGCCAAGAGAGACACGAATGTACTTGGAGCCAAGAAATCCCAGGGTGACTAATGTTACGTAAAGTCCATAAATTATATTAAGCCCAGACAAATCTCAGAGGTTTACTGCATTCATGACTCAGATTCACATCCACAGAACATGTAAGTCACCACACAGCTGCCTCTTGCAATGATGGACATAGGTTAACCAAAGGAGAGGTAGGTAGCTCTGTTATTTAAATAGTGGGGATGAGTGTGCAGTATATCTTAGGCTGCTCTCTACTTACACACATCCTGCAAACTCTAAAACACAGTAGGGACTGGAGAACACATTGTTCCACCTAGGGAGATCATTTTTAAAAAATTGTTTTTGAATGCCACCATGACTGTAATACTTTAAACCTTATTCTTGGTTCCTTTCCCTGCCATATAAATTGTGTCAGATCTTTTTGCCAATTCTTAAATGGCTTGTCATTTACCATTACCGGGATCATCTGAAATAGAAGTAATATTTTTGGTAGGATGTTAATTTTAATTGATGCAATACGTCCATGTAATGATAGTTGAAGCTTGTTCCATTCTTTTTAAACTCCCAGATTGAATTATAGTCATTCTGGAAAAAGACTGAGTTTTTAATCTGAAATTTTACTTTCTTCTCTATAGTAAATCCTGATATTTCTGTCAGGTTTGTTTTTTTCCTCTTTCATCATGTTTTTAGTTATTATCTTTGTTTTTGTTTGTTTGTTAATTTTGAATCCTGACAGTTCTCCACATTCTTGTTAACATTTTCAATAATGGTACTGTTCAAGAGGTCTTCCAAGATGACCAATATTGGCTTCAAAACAAGCAGCCATTCAAAGACATTAGAGGAAATAAAATGAAGCTCTTATGGCAAAAGTGAGGTTCACCTCACCTCTGAGAGTGATCTATTTCTGTGTAGTTAGTCTCTTCCAATCTAAACAGCTCTATCCTAAATTCTGATCAACAAGTGCAGTAATCTCCAATCTGGCCACACCCTGGATATAGCGGACTGCAACTTCCATCATTCCAAGTCAGGAGGGCATTACACTGGAATATGTCAAAACACAAGGACCCCAGCCCAGTCCCGTAGCCAGGATTTCGATTCGGGGGGGGGGGGGGGGGGGTGGGTTTTTTCGGGGGGGGGGGGTGAGTCTGAGTGAAAGAGGGTCTACCCTAGCAAACCTTTTGTATCATTACCCCAATACCCCCATGCATATGGGATATATTGAGTATGGTGATCAGATCATGATATGAATAAACATAACAGTTTAAATAATGCACCAGTAAGGCCTTTTGCGAACCACCATGAGAATTTCGGGGGGGGGGGCGCTGAAGCCCCCCAAGGCCCCCCCCGGCTACATGCCTGATCCGGCTTTTGCCCAGTGAAAAGAGGTCTTCTTTTACAGAACACAGTGTCGTGCTGATCTAACGCTGCTTCTTTCTGTAGCTTGCTTATACAGGATGCCTCCTCACCTTTAGCTTGGAAGGCTGGAAGGCATGGTGAGTGCCTTTCCAGAGTGCTCTCAACAGCACAGCAAAACCAATAGCCAGTCGCCCTCCAGTTCCCAGTGGATTGTTGTAATTGATCTCAGATTCAAAGGAGCGATCTAGGAGACAAGCAAACGGCAAAGGGTGAGGCACATAGCAACACCTTGTGTCACTAATATGAAAAGTAAATGGTAAAAGTTATCTGGAGTAAACAGAGGTTCCTCCTCATTACCATGAAAGTAGTCCCGCAACTCCCGTGTGTTGGACAGAGACTGGATAACACTGTTCATGAAACAAGTGTTGCCCAGGTTCACTAATCCTGTGAAACCTGGCAAGCACACCTTCTTGTCCTCTTCCTCCTCTTCTTCCTCCACACTTTCACTGCTGACAGGGCTGTGAGTCATGGGTGGGACCATGCATGTTGGCTTGGGCTGGAAAGAAAGAGTTTCTAGCAGTCAAGGATCAGGCTTTCTCCAGTTGCCAATTCCCCCCCCCCCCCTTATTCACAGCTTTTTGCCACTTATAGGGGGCCTTCTGACCTCCTGGTTTTGTCTAGAACTCCAGCCCTTATTTCTGTCCCATAAACAGCTAATGTACAGCAATTACAACATGGTGTCACTGTCAAAAACAGCAGAAAATCCTCCCACTGTAGAGAATTAGATAATATCAGGTGTGTACTTCCAGCTGCCATGCGCCATTCAGGAAATGAGAATGGGGACTAATATTTTGCCCATCCTCAAAAACGCCTGAGATTTCTTCATGGCTTCCATCAAAGGCTGATGCTATCCAGACCCTCATCTAACACAGCCATTAGCCATCACAATTTTATAATGGGAATTATATAGTTCAATACGTCTACATTTTACCAGGTTGGAGAAGGCTGATTTAGCACCGAATTCTCCAAGTTCACAGCTTGCATTCATTCCAAGCCTAGTGCATATCCTTTCTTGGCTTTGGTGAGACACTTAAGGCTGAGAGATGAGTTTTTAGTTGCTTTACATCAGGCATGGGCAAACTTCAGTCCTATAGGTGTTTTGGACTTCAACTCCCACAATTCCTAACAGTCCACCAGCTGTTAGGAATTATGGGAGTTGAAGTCCAAAACACTTGGAGGGCCGAAATTTTCCCATGCCTGCTTTACAAAATGGAATCCTGGTGCTGGTGCTGCTAACCATACCATTTCATGCCAAACTATCCTTGTTCTGGGACATTTCTTTCCAAATGCAAAATGGAAGCCTGGAAGGTAAGGGACAGGACTCATCCCTATCTCTGAAGGCTCCAAATCAAGAAATACCCACTAAAAGGGAATCCAGAAGGAATAAATATCTCCCTGCTGAGAAATGGCATTGTCCTGCATGGAATGACTTACTGCCCTGTCTTACGCCTTCCTCCATTCATATAAGAGACACTCATACAAATCTTAGGACTGGTTTCATTCTTCCAGCCCATGTCCTTCTTCAATAGTTGTCTGCTCAACTGCTTCAGGCTCAGAACACTAGGATACAGAAAGGTTTAGCATTGGGCATGCATTCTCACCGAGGGCACAAGAGGCTCCTGCTTCACCGGCATGTGTTCAGACACCGTCCGAGCAGCGACGCCATCCAGGCCACTTTCCTCTGCCCGTGGCTTCTCCTTTTCACCTGCTCGAGCTTCTTCTTTGGTGGAAAGAGTGTGCTGGTTACTCCCAGGTTGGCTTTTATCCAAGGGGGTAGGACCTGTTGGCATGGCCACCTTTGCACCACCCACTGCACCTTAAAAAGGGGGAAAAGTGGGCTTGTGGTTAGCAGCACCATGGGCACTCGGGGACAACAGCGTGCCATTCACCAGAAGATCAGGACTGCTATCACTTCTTGTTTAATGGCACCACTTTCCTTCCTTTCTTAACTACAGGTATAAAGTGATACAGTGAAGAAGGGACTCAAAAACCTGCCTGATACTGCTAACAGATTTGTGTAAATGTAGACATTTTTGGGACCCCAACACTGAGCTAAGGAGACCCAATTTGGGATTGGGATCCACAGTTTAAGAAGTAGTGGCCTAGTCTGTTCCTCTTCCCAGCTAACGCCTGATCTCAACCTTCTTATCCCAATTAGTATGTCAAAATCTTCTTTTGCCACTCAAGAAACCCCAACATTTCTAAATAGCCAAGATGCAGACCTCGTGTGGCTGGAGCTTCCAGGCCCCCCCAGCGTTGGCTATGCCGCTTCTTCAGGCAGATGTCGATGCGGGCAGTGGTGAAATTATAGGTGCACTGGTCTGGTTCTATGAGATTCCTGAAAGGCAATACAAAAAACATGAGATTACAAGGTTTGTTACCTAACAGGGCAAAAGACTGCTTTTTTTGTAGAAGTTTGAGTCTCTATGGTAATATTCTGTCATTCCATTACATAGAAACATAAACGGTGCTTCTTCCAGATAGTCTTCACCATTAATGATTCCCACAGACCACATTGCTACACTTCTGAACAGCTGAGCTCAGACAAGTAACACTGTTGTACCCATGAGGCCCAGAGAGCAGGAAAGAGAAGTCAGGATGAGAGGGCACCCAGTCTAGGCAAACATAATAATGAGAAATCCAACTTGCACAAGTCCAAAAAGCTTAGCCAGACTGACCAGCATGAGACAGGTGGCTGGTACTTCTTCTGCAGAAAGGATGAGGTGCTATGAGGAATGTTGGGATTGTGATTGAGATTGTCTAGGGCTTTAAAGGTCACTTTGAATTGTGCCCAGAAACAGACTGGCAGCCAATACAGCTGCTGCAACCCGGCCACAGCTTTTTTGGACCAGATGAAGCTTTTGAACACTCTTCAGAGGCAGCCTCACATAGAGCATGTTACAGTAATCCAGATGGGATGTAACTAAGGCATGTACCACCATGGCCAGACCTGTCTTCTCAAGGAAAGGGTTTATTTAGGGATCCAGCACAGGCTGAATCCCTATTCCCTGATCTGCCTTCTGACTGACCTGGTGTTCCTCTGTCACCAACATAAAAAGAACTCAAGAAAATCTGATACCTGAGTTTTACTTGCCACCTGAATATTGTATGAGAGCCACAGCCAGGATGCAGTCGCAGGAAGTTGACATCACTGTAAAGACAAGGATTGAGAAACAAATTGGATGAGACGCATGGTACTGTATGCCCCAGAACTATACTGTTGCCCATTTCTAATAAATTATTCCAGACTACAATAGCTGGAATAGTGGATTTCTAAAAGGAAGACCAGTTGGCCTCACTTCAGCAATATTGTACCTTGTCTGGAATAGTAATGTGAAGTCTTGCTCCCGAAAGAGCACCCTGGACATCTCCTTGTGAATCTCCTTCACATAAACATGCACCACCATAGAATCGTTCCCCTTCTCATAGAAATCGTTCTTGACAAACGTCAGATTCACAGTGGGCTCCGGTTCTAGGAGAGGAAAACCAAAGCAATCGTAATTGTTGTTGTTTATTCATTCGGTCGCTTTCGACTCATGACCCCATGGACCAGCCCATGCCAGAGCTCCCAATTGGCCGTCGCCACCCCCAGCTCCTTCAATCATAATAGTTGGGGATTACGAAGCATCCCCTGCAGTAGTATCCAAGGAAGAAAATGTGACCAGTGTTCCAGAGAACTTAGCACACTCTTCTTCAACCTGTGGTGCTCTAAGTATTTGGCCCTCCAACTTCCAGCAGCCCTAGCCAGCTTGTCCAATGGATAGGAATCCTGGGAGCTGAAGTCCAAAACACCTGGAGGCCCACAGGTTGAAGCGGCCTGGCTTAGCATGTGACATTCTTTGACAAAAAGGTGTGTCTCCAGAGACAGGTAAGAGGAGGTGAAAATTGAACACCCAGAAATATGCCATAACAAGCACCATGTCAGCCTGCACAATATTACAGAAATTCTGTAGTCACCTAATGCAATTCAAGCAAATCAACATGAATTACACTATGTAACACTGTTTTTGTTCCTGGATTATAAATGTTATTTCCTGAGTGGTTCTATCATAAAAACATGGGAAAAGTTTATTAAACGGCAAAACCTGTTTTTGCGGGACATCCTGCACCAAATTTTGCTATAGCTTTTCAATGAATATCTCTTCAAGCCTCAAACAATTTAACATAGTTTGTGGCAGCCACAAAAACAAAGTTTCTGCAGTATAACAAGTACTTTCCAAGTAAGTACTGCACAATTAAACAGGAATAACAGTTTTAAACTAGAAGCAGAATTCTTTTCTAATCTTGTTACATAGTGCTATTCTGCTTTTGCCAGCAGCAAGAAAATCCAAAAAGAACCACCCAGTGCATAAAACCTATTTCCTTTTACCACTTAAAACTGTCAATCAACCTCTCTCTCATTCTAACTTCTGAAGTTTCATTAGCCACCATACAGAGAGAGTTCTTATACCAAGCCAAACAACGTGCTCCTCTAGCCCTGTGTCATCAAAGCCTGGCAGTGACGCTCCAAGATCTCACAGAGGTCCTCCCAGCTCCACCTTGAAACCCCAGAGATTGAATTTGGGGTCTTTTCCATACAAAGTGTATTCTCAACTATTGAGCTCCAACTCTACAAACACTATCAACTTGTTTTAAAATGAAAACAGAGGACCATAACAAATTCCACTATATTTTGTGTCAACAGAAAAGGTGGTTTTCATTCCTGCTTTTCTGGCTTAGCGCAATCTGTGCACTCAAATGAAATACGTGTTTATATCGTACTTCTCTTTCCAAGATGCAGGATTCCACATACTTCCTTACCATTAACAACAGCATCTAGAGCATCCTTCTCCTTGGTCCACCCACTCTTTTCAGTATCACTACTCGGTAGAGAGGAAGAGAGATCTTTGCTGATGGCAAACACAGCTTCTGATGGAGTCTCACAAGAAATGGCTGGTTCTGGGATCCTCTCTTCTAAACCAAGTCTGAGTGGAGAGGGCAATACCTCTGTAGGAGCCACAGAGGCTTGCATTTCCATGGGCACCGATTCCATCTCTGTTTTTTCACCCTGGCAGCATAGAAAGAAGAAAGAAAAGTAAGAGACACAATCAAAAATAGAGGGGGCTATTTCATAAACACCTCACAGAGATCTTAAAAATCACATATTCCTATATATAAATCAAAAAAGAGCAATGGCAAGTTAGCAACAGTTCAATTCAAGGAAAATCAGAAGAAAGATTTATGAATGGGCCTTCTTAAACATCACTGTGCCAGTCTTGCTACCTCATAGCAAAGGAGAACTGTTCAAAAACTTTATTAAGTGGGAAGATGAAATGCCTCACAGAAGTTAGAAAGACTGGGCTGGGAAGGCAAAACTGCCTCCTGGAGGTCAATGTTGGCTTCAGAGCATTTCCTTGTATTACCTTGGGCAAGAGGATAAAGGAGTCTCTCACGTGAAAGTAGTGTTCCACTTGCAAAAGCTAAGCAGAACTACTGTTCTCAAAACTGAACGACAGTATCAGCTTTACTTTGAAGGATATATAGGTGTTTTTACTAAACATAATCAACTTTATTCTATAAAATAGTTTTTCCTTCTCTATGACTAAAAGTAAGATATATGTGGCTCATGGGATCACATGGTCCTTTATCTTCCAGGAACTCAAACTGCAGGGCAATCCCACCTTCTAATTGCTACTAAGAATCATTACTATTGAGGTTCCCAGAAGTAGTGTCCTCTTTAAAAAAGGAAATCCTGGCTCTTTCTAACAGTGGTGAGGCACTTTTTGCTTCCTTTCAATAAAATATGAAACAATCAGAGTCTGAAAGGGGGCAGACTTCAGTAAATTCCCATGGGAATGGAAATGACCTCAGGTTTCCTGAGCTTCCCATCCTTGCCCCTGACCCTTAGTCTCTGTGGTCTCAGCTCCCAATGAAGGTACACAATAAGAAATCAGCTTACTGTATTTTTGGCACTGGATTTAAGGCTCAAAAATCCCAGATTCAGGTCAAATGGCAGTAGGATCTGTGACACTCTTCCTCCTTTGCTCACCTTTAAGTGCAATACAGCATCCCCTTGAGCTCTCTGATCACTCCTTTGTCTGTCAGCTTCCCCACAGAGTCCTGTGTTTTCCATGCTGCTGTGATTCCCTTCATCCTCCAAGAGACTGGTTTTAGTGCACACTGCCCGCTTGGCACTCGGGCCAGTTGGTAGCCCTGGGATGGATGGGTTCTTTCCTCCTGTACTTTCACTCCTTCCAGGAGCTCGCTTTGGGTTGCAGAGCTCTCGTTTAGCCCTGGATGACTCTGTGGTGCTACAAGATTGGGGATCCTCAGTGATGTTCTTCACTGAAGTGGGTTTCTCCTTGCCATTCTCCTTGCACACCTTTTTGGTCTGGTCTCTTGAGCCATCTTTGCAGCGTTTCTGGGAAAATAGAAAACAAGCTAGACTCACAATGACTGCATTGAATCACTGAGGTGGGGTGGGGAGGAAGCTCACTTAGACTCTGGGCTTAAAAGCATTGACACTTTTTCTACAATGAAACATGGTCTGCATGGGTTGTGGCAACTGAAAAATTCCTTTGCAGAAGATCACTGGAAAGCCTCAAGAGAGGGTGGGTTGACATATAAGGAGAAGGTAGCCACAGCTCCAATTCTATATATTATTTATTAACTTTATTTCTACCACACCTTTCTCCCCATTAGGACTGAAGGTGGCTAACAAATATAACACATATAGTGTATATACTCAAGTATAAAGCCACACTTCTACCCCAGAGTGTGGTGGAGGCTCCTTCTAAGAAGGCTTTTAAACAGAGGCTGGATGGCCATCTGTTGGGGGTGCTCTGAATGCGATTGTCCTGCTTTTTGGCAGGGGGTTGGACTGGATGGCCCATGAGGTCTCTTCCAGCTCTATGATTCTATAAGTTTTTCAGCCCTTTTTTTAGGCTGCAAAAGCACCCCTCTAGTCAAAGTTATTTATTATTTTACTCTGTTATTATTATTTTTATTACATTTATTATTTTACTCTAGTTATTATTACTATTATCAAATTTAAATTATTTTACTCTATTATTATTACATTTTTCTCTATTTAATATTATTATTACATTTAATATTTTACTCTATTTATTATTGTTATATTTATTATTTTACTCTATTGCTGTTATTACATTTATTATTTTACTCTATTATTGGAAGGATATGTAAGCACATTTACATTGAAGAAGGTTAGAATAATGGTTTAATCAGAGTTGCAGTCTTATCTTACATTACAGTTTTATGTAAACATTCCAAAACATTTAACCTACTGATGCCTCAATTAATATAATATTATTGGCATCTATTTGTATTTTGAAATTTATCAGTAGCTCTGCATTTCCCATCCTCAGCTTATACTTGAGTCAAAATATTTTCCCAGTTTTTTTGTGGCAAAATTAAGTGCCTAGACTTATATTTGGCTCAGCTTATACTTGAGTACATTTGGATAATAACAATTTAAAATAAGACAGATACAATTTAAAAAAAATTAAACATCTGTCGGGGTGCTTTGAATGCAATTTTCCTTCCTCTTGGCAGGGTGCTGGATTGGATAGCCCATGGGGTCTCTTCCAACTCTATGATTCTATGATTTGTGGGTGGATACAAAAGTTAAAATACAGTTAAAATACAAGAAATTATTTTGAATACTCACAAGTCTCCCAAAAGCCTCTCCTGCAGTATGTCCCTTGTCTTCCCCTAATTCTAACCATCAGGATCTCAGGAAATAATAAACCAAGGAACATGTGCGTATGGTAGGAGAGAACAAGGCTGAGCCTTACCAACAGTGAAGCCCATGTGTGGAGTGGGATTTTCTTCTGCAGCACCAGTTGTAGGATATTGCCTTTCTTGAACTGAACTTTGCTACAAGAGCTCTCAATTTCCTGATAAAACTGACAGCTCCACTGACGACCACCTGCAAAGGGGGGGGGGGGGGGCAGACAATCAATGTCTTGTAGTTGCATCATTATTTCCTTCTTCAATGTGGCAAGTTTGAGGGGGAAACATACTAGAGTGCATGCATGGGTGCAAAAGTGGAAATATTTAGCCTCTTCGGGGAACGGATCTCGGGGATAAAGCCTGGGGGAAAACCTGTGCCTAAGATTTTAGAAAGCCATGTTGGCTATCTCCAACAGCACTAGGCTAGACTGTTCTGGTGCATATGACAAGAATCACTGTGTTCCTAATGTTCACACCAGGCTACAGTTTCAAGGGAAAGGGCAACTTAGTTTTATTGGCTGAACTGCAAGAGTGCTATGTTCTCATGAGGTAAGGGCTATGCATTAGTAATAAGATCATGTAGAGACTTGTTTCAGTAATACTTTTATTTCTCACACTTAAAAGAGTCCTGCTAGAGTTGACTCATCAAAAAGTCTATCAAAAGTCTATCTAGAAATATGTTTTGCTGTTATCCAGCATCAAAGTTACCAACAGGCAGGACACAGGGGTTCTCCAACTTTTGTTCTCCAATAACTCAGTGCTAGCAGGTCTTTTTTATTTGAAAAAGAATTATTTGGAAAAAAATTTTTTTTATGTTTTTGTAAGGCACTGAGACTTACATGGAGGTATAAACTAGCAGCCATTGGGAAGAAGCTAATAAAAGTGCCAAGTGAATTTTATCTCCTGGCATTTCCTAAATCAGATGTTTTGCTATTGCCTTGAAGCTGAATATGCTTTTATCAACAAAGATTTCCAACAATATATTTTCAGGCTGAGCCCTACATCTCTCTGGGATATATTTTTTTCATTAGACAACTTGAAGCTCCCAAGACACTGAACAAGCAGCTAGATTCCAGACTAAATGCCGTCTCCTGCTTTCTATGGCACAATCAAAATGAAGCATTTCCCCAGAACTCTCCTTATTCTGCCTCCCCTTCTTCACCCAGAAGCTCAAAAGGTCTGATTCTTCATTCTTCGCTTTTACAAAGAATAATTCCAGCAGAAACCAGCAAGCCCCCAAACTAATGAAGCATGTGTTTGAAAGATAGTGGCATTCACTTCTGACAAAGCTCTTAAATCAGCATTTCTCAACCCAGCAATTGGGACTCCTGGGGAGGGGGGGGGGGGGTTGTGTCGCAAGGGGGATTTCAGAGGAGTCTCCAAAGACCATAAGAAAACATGTATTTCTGATGATCTTAGGAACCCCTTTGGCAAATAAAGCTGTAGATCTCTATGCCTATCCTTCTCTTCCTTTTTGGAAACAGACTGTGAATCCTCCCACCAAAAGCCCTCCTCTTGCTGTGATTTTTCAGCCTCTCAGCTGGCCTCTCAGCCAAAAGGAGGGCTGTTTCTGAGACTCAAAGTAGGGAAGGGAGAACAGGTGTGCCCTCCCCTAAATCAGTGTCAATTCCTCTCAAATCCCTCCAGTATTTTCTGTTGATCATGGAGCTTTTGTGTATGAAGTTTAGCCCAAATCTATCGTTGGTTGGGTTCAGAATGTTCTCTGATTATAGGAGAACTATAAATCCCAGCAACTACAACTCCCAAATGACAAAACCAACCCCCCTCAACCCTACCACTATTCTAGTTTGGGTGTATCAGGTATTTGTGCCAAATTTGGTCCAGTCAATGAAAATACATCCTGCATATCAGATATTTACATTACGATTCATAAAAGTAGTAAAATTACAGTTATAAAGTAGCAACGAAAATAAGTTAATGGTTGGGGGGTCACCACAATAGAAGAACTGTATTAGGGGCTTGCAGCATTAGGAAGGTTGAGAACCACTGTCCTAAATAAAGGATCAAGTGTGGTCTTTTTAGAACACCCAAGATATTGACTTGCCTAATTCACCTAGTCTCACTTTGCTGCTACACTTATTTGAATTCTTCATCTTGCTTTGTTTCAAGTTTCACCTTAGGAAATTCAATTTTTACTGCAGGTCACCAGAAAATCAACAAAAGAATTTCTTTAAAAAACAACAACTGAGAAGCTCACTCTCCTGCACAAGCCATAAGAAAGAGAAAGAAGAAATGCGACACTCACCAGGTAACTTGATGAGACAACTGGTGTCTGTGAAAGAGGCATCCACTTCCTCTGTTTTTGGGATGCCACCGCCCAAGCTCAGCTTTACAATAACCTCATCAGCATTCTGCTTCCAGTCCAGCAGGAGGTCTAGGAAACACAAGGGGGTCGAGATGTCAGCCTTTTCCCCACTGAGCCACGATACCAGAGCAAACAGTACACTTGGAATTAAGGACCTGTATGGATTCATTAGTAGAAAAATGCAAGTACAGGAATCCATTCCACACATGGCATAACCAATACATGGAATTTAGTGCCACACAGACAATCAAGAACAGCACAGAGGGTTAGGCACTGCAACTAAAAGTAATACCTCTCTTTTGAGAAACAGCATGTAAAGCAGTATTTTGGAACTGGCACTGTGCAGTGAGTAAGTAAAAGATCCTAGTTCAAAGATGCTCTCATGTCATCCTTGAACTTATGTGGTGACTTAGCAAAAACCATTCTCTCCCAGCCCGGTCTCATACCTACAGCACTGGTACAAAACTGCTGGGGAATCTTGCAAGAATTATAATAATGATATATGTGACTGACTCAGAACCCACTAAAAACAACATAAATATATGACATATTTTGGTATCAGATGCTGAACATCAATTAATAATGTGGGATGGATATTACCATTAACTTGTGAACTGTCCCAACTACTGGATGAGTACGGATGGAGAGGTTTAAGAAACATAACGTAGAATAGAAACACCTACATTCCTAACCTTGAAGCAGCAAGAGAAAGAGAGATCCCAAAACTCTCACCTGTGGTAAAGGACACAAACGTTGTTGGGACAGAAGTAACCCAAGTGCTTCTGTGCAGCCTTGTGTCCTCTTACCTTTCTGGCAGAGGACGGGCACTGCCAGAGCATCACATGTTATTTTTGAGAGGGACTACAATTTTCAAAATTCAGTGGCTATGCTGACTGAAAAATTCTGGGAGCTGTCCACAAATAATAATTTTACAAGCTCTTGAATTCATAGCACATGCTTTGCACACTTCAACCAACTTCAGGTACATTTCCGTCCTACTGAAGTAACCATAAAGACGGTTTCTTTCTACAACAGTTATGGCCCTGCTATGCAGTCATGCTAATTCTGGTGTAGTTGATTTCTAAAGCTTCTAAGCTTGCTGGTTAAGAAAGCAATTCTCAGCATAAAGGGGGGGGGGGGGGAAATCCACATACAGTGAGATGGATACACAGTGAGAGCAGACAGGGTGGCTCAATACTTGGGCTCTGTTTAGGCATGCACCCCTTTGACTTACCCTCCTCTGATTCCCTCTGCCAATTAGGCTCTACCAGTTCCAGGATGGGAAAGGGCTCTAAGTGATCAGAAAAACACAGTAGAGATGTGCTGCTTTGCTAAAGGCCATCTCAGAAACCACTTTCTAAAATTTCAAACACATAGGCCCTCTTGTTTCTTCCTTGAAAAGAAGTCATTTGCATGTTACATTCTTTTCACCAGAACCTCACATTAGAACTATGCATTGCTGGCTGGATAAGGGAGAGAAACACACTAAAAGGAAGGTAAGGACAAAGCATACTAGATTTAGCTGTCCAGCCTATACAAATCAATAGATAGAAAACAGCCAAACAGTTGTTAAAAAGTATGTACCATAAGTGTCATAACATGTTGGCCATAATTTCCCATGAAGTTCTTCCACCTATAAACATGTGATATATGGCTGCAATAAAGTACAGAGGATATTCACACATTATAGTGAGTATATGTGATGTTATTTTATGTGATGTGTTCAATAATGTTTAATGTTTTATCAGTGGAGGGTCAATTTTGATGTCTTATACTGTTTTTTTTATCAACGGCATTGAATTGTTACCAATACTGTGAACTGCTCTGAGTCCCCTTTGGGGTTGAGAAGGGTGGTATACAAATACTGCAACTAAATAAATAATTAATTAATAGTGCACTTTGCCACCTCCTGATTTACAGCCTTGGGTTATAGGAAATAAGTATCTTCTGAAAAAAGAATTTTAGTTTGTATTAATTCAGTAAGGCAGCTAGTAAACTCCTCAAGATTCTCTTGTAAGCACCACAATCAAGTTACTGAGCTCTTTTTGTTCCATCATATCCTGAGTCCATCCTCAGTTGTTTCCTCTTTGCTTGTAAACAATGTATGCACCCTTAAGTTCAAGCACCCCATGCATGCTTGTATTCATGGAACTTAAATATGGTCAGATCCCTTGGCAATCCACTTGCAAAGCCACCTATGATGTGCTGGCTTTGAAAGACATCCCTAGGGAAACTAACTAGTGCTCTCTCTGCACATGTCTGGTGTCTTGCTCTTGATTCCATAGCTACGCCTTCTCTTTCTATCTTACTTTTTTTTAAATTGAGCACTTAACTTGCCTTGTGATGCATCTAGTGTGGCCTCTCAGCCTGTTGCTGTTTATGCCACAGCTGGAGAAAAATGGAAACTCAATATTTCTGCCTAGGAAGCCTTTTCTATATATGTGGTCACAGGTGCGGGGATCATTCAACTTAAATAAGCTTCCAATATCCTATGTTGTGCCCACACAGTGGAAGAGAAAATGTTACTGCTTATCAGCGGCTCTCTAGTGGTCTCACTCAGTAAACAAGCTGGGAGTCTAGAACTTAGTGCTAAGGGTTTTTTAGGATCTTGAACCAAACACTAGGAAATCTCCATACATTTTGCATACTTTATCCTCATGTTTCTTAATCCATTGTCTCTTTTCATGTTTGATATAATCCCGAAATAAGTTTTCATGCTGCTTGTTGTCAAAACCACTTTTCCAAGTAAAAGATCTGAGCAGATGTTTATCCTATTTTGAATAAAGCCAATTTGAGTTCCGGTTTTGAGGAAAGAGCAGCATATATATAAAACTGTTGATATTGTTATGATGATAATGATATTGTTTCTGATGGTGATTAAAAAAACCTATGGTTCACAATGGTCTGACTCGACTCTAGGTTTACAATACTCATGACCAACCTGAAAGTGAGATCCTTTAAATTATCCTTGCTCTGCAATATGGGAAGCATACTCTCCCTTGTATTTATTTTTCTCTTACAGAATAGCTCTAAACCATGCTAGACCTATCCATTCTGTGTTTCACAGCAGCCCCATGCTGTCGAAATTCAAAAAGGCATGTCTTGCATACAGCCTCCCAAACCCTGCCTTAGTCCTTCCATCTGCTTTGTCAAGATCCAATTATATACCTACATTTCCTCATCTCTAGAACTACTATTGGGAGGTCTGCTAGGAAGCTAGTATCTGGCTGCCTTTTTTTGGGTAAACATTTATGATATGACAAAACTGTTATTTCCTTGCAAATCTTATCAGTGAGTCAACTTTTCCATGTTGCGGGTGTTCAGTGCATGAACTGCTGTAGTCTTCACACTTCTGCAAAAGTTCTTTCTGCATCGGGTGTGTGCCAGGTACACATGTACAAAACAAGAATATGTAATACTACAGAAGGCAAAGCTACAAATAAACAGCAATATGAACTGATCGAATAACTCAACTAGGACAGTCACTAAACCAGTCTAAGCTGGCTGAACATCCAATTGCCAGAATAACCTACTAAGAAGATTTGCTGCATGAGGAGTTAATGAAACCGTTGCAATTAGTTTCTCTGTAAGTCTCATTCTAACATGCCATTACCTGACAGAAATTATACAAGGATTTTGTACGTTTGAAAGAGAGTCACATTAATCTTTCAATATAAAAGGAGGCATAGAAGAATGATTCTTATAGCAATTTAAAGATCTGTTCAGTAGCTTTTATCAACTAAAGAAAGGGAATTAGCTTCAGGATTTTTTCTCAGGAATTCCTTGTAACACAACAATTAGCAGATATAATAACTGGTAAAGTGCATGTATTACTCTGGAAAGCAAAATAATAATATCATATATAACCAATTAGGACAATGCAATTAGTGTTATACCACTACCAAGTTTAAAGGTGTGTTTCCACAGATAGTACATTTAAGTATCAGTGGTGATAATGGTTATATTTTCATGATTGTACCTTAGTCAAGATTACTGTTTCTCATTTAAGCCAAAGGAATTTAATCTACAGTGTCTGGTAGCATTTAGGCACAGATAAAAGAGGTCTTCTTTGTTCTCATAAAGGTTTGGAAACAGTCCAGGACTCTGGTGCACAGTGGAAAATTACTTTTTAAAGTATGCTGTAATTTATTGCTTTCACTTGTTAAAAATTCAAAAGAACTTGTTACATTTATATACAATAAGAAGAGAAATAATAAGCAATTTTCTAAGACAAAACTTCGGGCTAAAGAAGTAATTACATAAAACTTGGAAAACTGAATGTCAGAAGACCTTAGCAAAAGCCTTTAAAGAGTAATTACAAAGGGCGATACTTGTTAAACGAATAAAATAACTTCCCCTTTGCTTCACTGCACTATTTTGAAATGTAACTTTTTTTCTTCTGTGTCCCCGAAAGAATAAAGTTATATCAACTAGAATTAGCATTTGTTGCTTCAAAGCTTTTCTCCAGCAATTTGAAAAACATTTTAAAAATGGTGAAAAGAGTTCCTCAGAGCTGCAACTCTCTATTGGGGGCACAAGAGGGGGCTGCTTATTTTGAATGTGGGCACACCAAAGGCCTCACAACATTCGTAACACAACAATTAAGCTGTAATGGTACATTTAGGAAAGCACTGACAATGATAGGAAAGAGCAATTAATGTGAATTTTATATCTATGGGATAAAAGTTTGAACATTTCCATGCTGCTTAACAGTATTTCAGAAGCCCAGATGTAGAAGAGAAATGGCCAATTTGAGGCCAATGCTGACAGTATTTGCTCACCCAACATGACCTAGCTATTCCTTCACATGCCTTAAACTAAAGCATCTCTCTATATGGAATGAGTATTCCTTATCCAAAATGCTTGGGACTGCTAATTCTTTGAGGCTGCATTACAGATGAACTGAGAACTCTAGACAGTTAACATTACAACTATGGAAGCAAACTATTATAGATATGCTAATGATTGGCTGAATAAACTATATAGGGATGGGTTTTTTATGTGTAATCTAACTAATTTGGGGGAGGAACCAGCTTTCTCACTGAGTTATGTGAAACAGCTTCCAAACTGTATGTATTAAACAGAAAATGAGTAATAATGATTTTTAGGAATTTCAAAGTATTTTTCTTGGTTACTCAGTAGTTTAATTTTCCAAGCTGTGTCTCAAATACTCCACTGGCTGAACAAGAATCAATCCTGCAGATATAACTCTCCAATTCTTAAGTTTGTACACAGAGTGAAAGATATCTTCAGCACAAAGCCCTACCTTTCTTTGAGTCACTGCCAACTGGTCTCTCGCCCTCCTTGCTCTCCTGATTAGCTCGGTCCTTCTGTTTTTTCTTGTTGGTTGCATCATCTGCTCCCCGTGCTGTTCTCCTCTGACCAGGGACACTGGCACTACTGGACATTTTCAGCCGTTTGGATGAAACAAACGGCCCGCCGGGGTCAGTGACGGAGTCTGGGTCAGGGGTGCGACGTTTTCTTCCCGAGCCAGCTATCTTGGCGACTCTTTGTGATCAATCTCTCTGGCAATGAACAAAATGCCTAGGGGAATGTATATGGAGGAAGACATCAGATAATGGTGGCAGTAAAGAAAGGGCAAAGTTCTATGATGGTAGAAGTGTTATGGAAACTATTAAAAAGTCCTAATATGTGGTTGACACATCAGAAACAAAAAGGATCCAACCTAGTACATCTTTTTTTTTAAAACTAGGGTACATTATTGCTACTGATATGTAAAATCAACAGAGTTTGGTCAAAGCAATTTTGAGGTTTAACCCAATCAAGAAGTACTAGTAACAAGCATTTCAAGATAGGAACTTTTTTTTCTTTTTTTACTTGATAAGCCCACAGCCAAAGTGAATCAGTCAACGCTCCTTTCAACAACAACACTGAAAACTAGGCAAGTGAGGATTGAATGGAATAAATGGGTACCGTATTTCATCGCATAATAGTCACATCACATAATTTAAAGGGAACAGCCACGTGGGCAAGTGGAGCACCTTCACCTTCACTATCAAATGGGGCACAGTCATTATCGAATAATAGACACACACACACACACTCCAATATTTTTTGGGAGGGGGGGAGTGCAGCTATTATGTGAAGAAATACGGTATCTTGGCTGATCAGAACGAAAGTGCTATTTTGTCTTTTTCATTTATTTCACAACAGTTGGGGGCATGAAGGATGCTACCACTGCTTCAGAAATCAATACAATTATCTTAATATGAGAAAAGCTGATAAACTTTCCCTTTGGGTTGCTAAGAAGATTTGGTGTTTTCAGAATTCTAGCTCAGTCCTTCCAATAGTTTGCCCCTTTAAGTGGTATGCAGTTATAGAAGAACAATACTCCTGTACAAATGGCAATTCATTAAAATATTTCATAGAGAACACCTCTCTAGGAATTTCTACAGCATCTACATTCTGGTGGATGGTGACCATAGAGTGACACTCTATAAATGTCTAGAGAAGTGTTTCTCTAGGAAAATCAAGGTCCTCCAAAACAATTCGATGTTCAGCTTTTGGCAGAGATGTGCTAAAGGAACTGGATTCCTAGAGACAATACATCAATCAAGTCCACAGATAATAAAATCCACAAATATGGACAACCAATTGTGCATTCAAGAGTTCGGTGGTGTTTTAAGTATTCACTATCTTTCTGCTAAAATTCAGTAAAAACAACTCTTAAAAGCCAGTCAAATATCAAGTCAAGCAAAACGAACACTGGAAGTTTCCTACTTCACTCCAAGCAGACACTGCCCTAATCCTTTTCCTGCCTGCATTACTACCAGTATTGTTCTAGCCAGTTTCTGAGTCCTAGCTGTCAAACACCACTTTCAATTTCATCCTCCAGCACTTGCTAAAAACAAAACAAAACACACACAAAACCTGTGAGATAAGGAAGTCAAGATTATTTGTTTTATTTTCACATTCATACTCTGCCAATACAACTCCAAAAAGTATTCCTAGCAAATTTTCTGCACTAAATCTGCACCCATGGCATGTAGTACAGAGATAATAAACCTAAATCAATTTATTCATCTGATATCATGACTTTCTCCTAGCTCCTAGCTCAAAGTGTTTTGCAACCATTTAAAACCACAGTACACAGTACAGCTAAAAAAACTATTAATATAAAAGTTAAAACACAAATCATATTTCTATTTTCAAACCCACATAAATTAGAGTAGCTTAGAAATACATTTAAAATAATAATAAAAATAAGAATGCAACAATCTGAAGGGTAGGAACCCTTACCACCCAAGTTTGCATCTCATTACTTGCACTAATGTTGCCCTTGCCTCAGGGGAAAAATGAAGACATTTATTCATATGTGATGTAATCAGACAGAATCTCCTGGAAACAAAGAGGTATCTCTTGGTTTGGCCTTGCTGGATGGTTGGCCTTACCTTGGAATTGTTTGTTGCTGAAGCAAACTACCACACAGCTGTGGTGAGCTTGCAGCCATAGCCATTGCCAAGCGTCTTTGCTGTCATTTACAATTCTCCCCTCCTTTCACCAGATCACATGGGCACCTTTGCTAATATCAGCAAATGTGCCTGGTGATGACCACAAGCCTCTTGGAGTTCCACTGCTGCCCACTATGGTGACAAATGACCCCAAGGGCAAGTTTCATCCCCTTTTCCCTGCACCACAGAGTATATGGAAAAGGGATAGTGGCATGGACTATGTGGACAGTGGAGCAGAGTGCATTAGAATTAGTTTGTCTGTCTATATCAGCTCTGAAGTTCAGGGTTGGTATGGAGTTTCTGGAAGTTCTGCTAACGCAGGGTAAAACCGATTTTACCCTGTATTATGAACTAGAGGTACCTGGACATCATCTGGATACCCAAGAGCAGCTTCTGGGTTAATATGGGGTTGTGGACTCATCTAGACATGCCTTTAAACCCATCTATTCACCCACCCCTGCTCAGAACTGAGGATTTTTGGGGGGTCCTTAAAATTGACTTTGATGGAGGATCTGGGGGTTTTTAATGTAAAAGGTTACTTTTGCAAACTCAGAAGAAACAGAACAATACTTAATTTCACTCATTATTCCTCTCTTCCACAAACTGAAGGAAGTCCACTATGCACCTAACATTTTTCATGTGTATTTACAAAATGTGCATATAGTTTCCCATAGGCATCCTATTTTGTAGGATTAACCTTTATATATAGGGTATATATCCCATAATAAATCAGAAAAGCTTACGCCTTTGACAGGGCTCTCTTGTCCTAAGATGATTGTAAGCTTTCACCTCTAAGCCCAAGTCAGTTCCTCTAAGCACAAAGTCAACAGATGTCTTGAACAGAACCAAAGGGAACCACCCCGAGTTCCATGTTTAATTTAAACAAATGAACACTGGCTGTTCTCTTGAGCAAGAAGCCAAAGCCCATGACTCAGGGCTAAGCTTATGAGATCAAATAATATTGTATTTCACCAAATCTTAGGCACAACTTCTTCCCGTTTAAAGAGACTTCAAAATCTGGGTGTGCCTTAGATTCATAATTTTTTGTTTTAAACAACCTTATCTCCAAGAGAGGAGGATGAGGATGAAGGACCCCAGTCCCCAAAAGCTTCAGTTTTTGGTTTGTTGGTTTATTTTAAAATAATTTTTATCTCCAAGAGAGCAAGAGGAAGGGCCCTAGCTAATACGGCTCACCAAGCCCCAGCATTATGTCAATAGTCTTAGCCAGTTTGCTGTTTATCATCTGGTTGAGCTCTGTGCTGCTTCCTACTTTCCTGCCTCAATAAAAGGGCCCATAAAGTTAATAAAAAAGACTCATGCTGACAAGATGACTGCTGGGTTTCTTCACACTCTCCTCAGCACATATGAAAGATTGTACCGCAAAGCCGCATTAAACCAAAAACAAGGTATGGTACATGCAGAGAAAATTATAGAAAAACCCTTTCCTCCCAAAATTGAAGCTTAAAACAGAGTGCTCCTTACTTTCAGTTGTGCCTTAGGGCCCTTCCAGACAGGCCCTATCTCCCAGGATATGATCCCAAGTTTTCTGTTTATCCCAGATTGTCTGACAGTGCAGGCTCACATAATCCAGTTTAAAGTAGAAAACCTGGGATCAGATCCTGGGATATAGAGCCTGTCTGGAAGGGCCCTTAGATTCAATGAAATATGGTGGATTCTAAGGCAGCAGCTATGAAACAGGAGACGGAAAAGTAAAGTTGTGCACCATAGAAATTGCAATTCACTTCTATGAACAAATGGTCTAATCAAGACTGAAGCAACTGAGAACTTGTATTTGGCGCCGAACAATGAACATGGATTTCGTGACCAAGCAGTGCTGCTTCAAGTAGAAGTTATATTCTGAAGTACACACAAAAGGAAGACTTCAGCCCAGAATGACCACCAACCTAATTATTTCACCTGGACAGGCAATCATTAAGTAGCTGTAAAACATGCAACCTGTATAAAATTTGGAGTCCAGGAGTTACAAATTCAGTTCATCTGGATCTTAGTTTCCACTGCTTCAGAGGACATACCAGTTGAGAGTAACTATTCATTTAAATAACTTTCCACCATCTAATGAAAGATTTCTGAGACTCTTTGTTTCTACACACTTTCCCAATCCCCTTAAATTTCCAGAAAAAAATTACTTTGGAAAAAAACCCCAGAAAATTGTTTCCCCCAGACCTTCCCATCTCTACTTGTAAAGATCAAACCTCAATCTTTCAACTAGTCACAAGATCACAATTAAATTATCAAATGGTCATTGTTTCATGTATTGGCCTGTGCCAGCCCGACTAACAGGCCACAAAACCACCCATGCAGAACATCATGTTAGGGCACCTAGGCAAGTCTCTTATTGGATAAAAAAAGAGGGGGGAAAGGCTAACACTCAAGTAGAATATGCTTTCTGACTCCAAATATAGCAATTTATCAGAACCAGAACTGTGAACAACACCCAGATATATATATGAAAGACTGTTAATTGTTTTGATGGGATATTTGATTGGGATCACAAAACTATAGCTTTAGAAGGAATGGCAAGTCAAATCCGCAATGAGTACAAAAATCTATATCTACAGCATTTCTAAAATGTAGCCATCTATTTTCTTTTTTCAAAAGTGCCAAAACCAGAGAGTTTATCGCCTTCTGAAGTGATCTGCTATACTGTCAGATTGTTTTTCGCATTTGGAAATTCTTCCTAATGTTTAGTTGGGCCTGGGGTAGCTAACAAGACTCCACAATTATGGGGGTTAGGGATACAGGATCCCCATGAAAGTAAACAAAAAGCTAACTGCTCTAACGTCCACCTCCCACTTTTTGTCCAGCCCAGGCCTTTCTTGGGTGCATCAGTTTGTATTTAAGTCCTTCACTGCCCATCTTCTTCTTCCCCACTCACTTCTCCCTGAATCACCCCAGTCTCATCTCCTTCCTTGACACTGCAGAATCTACCGCACATAATCCCACAAGTCTAAGTCTGAATTTAAACTGGTGGTCAGTCAGGAGCTGAAGGAGTCAGCAGAGGAAAGAGGCAGATTTGTGTGGAAATTAAATTCCCGCTGACACTTGTGTTGGAATGATGAGCTACGGCTGAGAGTGTGTGACTCACAAGGATTCAAACCCTGGTCTCTAGTCCATCATATAAATCTCACCACCATGCTGGCTGTATGGATACTCTACAGGCATTATTGTACTAATTTTAATTTGTATGTTCCATTGAGTGCCAGTTTTGGGGGAATTGTTGGATAACATCTTCTTTAATGTAAGAGTTTTAGGCCCGCCCTCTGGAGTTGCAAAAGAAAAAAGAACTTAATCCATTTAGTCACTGATTGTTCTAAACCACTCAACAAATTGTCTCTAGCTGCAGAATATGTGGCAGAAGAATTGAGGTATGCAGTAAAACAAGTGGAAAATAAGGATGAATAAGCATAGAAAAGCAGGTTCCCTTTCAAAAGCTAGTTTGATCATCCCAAAACAAATGGAATAGAATCCTTAATCAATGAATATTAAATAAAAATCAGCAGGAGTCATTATCACAACACAAATAAAACTAAACATTCTCCAATACTTAAACAAATAATGTTAAGAAAAGAGAATCAAGTACCTATTTTCATGTCAATTCATTTATTTAGAGAAATTCTACAAATACCATGGACCACCAACAAAACAAACAGGCAGGTCTTAGAAGCAATCAAATTTGAAGTCTCCCTTAAAGGCAGAAAATAACTGAACCAAGGTTATTATACTCTGGACACATCATGAGATGACACGACTCACTAGAAAAGATGTAAATGCTTGGTAAAGTGAAGGTAGTACACTAGGCACTCCATTTCCATGTGAGTTAGGGACATATCCTAATACAAAAGCTGTGAATAAAAAAACCCGCTAATTTTCTTATGTGAGAGAACAGATCTTTATGAATCTCTAGGTCCTCCAGGGCTATTCAATTGTCAACTTTTGGAGGACCAATAGATTCCTAGAGATAATGTTTTAATGAAATCTGCAAATAATCACATCTACAAAAATTAAATCTGCACATGTGGAGGGCCCATCTCAAATCAAACTGCAGGTGGATTGACTCAATCACGAAAGACAGGGCTCTAAGTCTGCAAGACCAGAGCTGGGCAATTAATAACCAAGTCTCTTGGAGGTCTCTAATTCATAGAGTCATCATATGTCCAAGACAAATTAATGAAGCTCAACCACAATGCCAGTTTCAATAATACACGGCAGCATGAGAATGAAAAAAAAAACTAACAATATTTGAAATGTTTTCCAGTTGCTCAGAAAATCAGCATACTAATGTCACAGAAACCTTAGCCTCATGCATGGCAACTTTAGAATGCAAGCCAGTCAACCATATTTGTTCAATAATTTCTCACAGTTGATGTAAGGCACTATATAAACACTAACAGTTAAAGTCTGTGCCTATCCACTCGGAAATAAGTCCCACTGCATTCAACAGGGCTTTCTTCCAGATAAAGATTGCATAACTACAAAAGACTTTCAGTTAACTGGCACCATGGGGATTGGTAGATACTGGATAAATATCGTTTCTAGTTGCTTGAGAGTTACTATTCAAAATAGACCTAACTAAAATAAAATCTCTATTGCCTCAATATTAATATTGAATACTGTAATGTAAAGCAAATTAAGACAAAGACAAACTTAATGTAACACAATTTTACTGTATTATGAAAAAAAGCTTTCTAAATGTTATTATTTCTTTGATTCCTTTTGCCAGCTGCTTGAGAATTCTGGTTGCTTGCGTTCCAGGGCCCTTCCAGAAAAGGTCCTGATCCCAGGGTTTCTGCTTTAAACTGGATTATATGAGTCCCTACTGCCAGATAATTTGGGATAAACAGAAAATCTGGGATCAGATCCTGGGATATAGGGCCTGTCTGGAAGGGCCTTGAGGGTCTACGGTATTACTAACTGCCCTTAGGAAACCAAATCTGGCCAACATTAAACTCAAATGCATCACAAGGATAAACAAAAATTATACAATCTGGAAAAAAAATTATAGGAAATTAAAGACCCTATTAACCTGAAGGACAATTCAAATTCAACAAAAGTTTCAAGTCCTCTTTTAGTTATGAGCCAAATCATTACAATCTGCTGTAACATTGCTTTCGGTTGAGGTTCAATGGGATCTCTTCGGACTTCTCACCTACTGGCCTGCATTAGATATGCCACTGCAACCTCTACTGCCTGTTTCTAAAAATTCTTATTGAGAAAGAACAGAAATACAACTCTTCAGTTTTATGCCCGATGAGATCGAGCTCTGCTCCAGAGAACTATATGTGGATAGTAACCTAGAATAGTAGCCTCAATGCAGGTGAAACATCAGGAGAGAATGCTACTGGAACATGGCTATACAGCCTGAAAAACTCACAGCAACCCAGTGATTCCGGCCAGGAACGTCTTCGACAACACAGTAGCCCAGAAAGCTATGTATCTGGCTCAATACACTTCTCACACATCAGGGGAAAATGTTCCTCTGGAGAAGCAGCTAAGCAAGATGCTGTTCTAATTTTTTCTTTTAACATGGAAGGATCATTTTTAGCAACAATCTTCAATGCACCTAAGGAGCTATCTGAGGGCCTTTCCACATAGCCCTATAACCCAGAATTTCAAGACAGAAAATCCCACAATATCTGGGTTATCAGAGTCTACTCCACCATATATTCCAGTTCAAAGCAGAAAATGTGGGATTTTATTCAGCTGTGAGGGAGGACTCTGAGTCCACTTTGGGGAGAGAAAATGGGGTATAAATAAATATAATAAATAATAATAATATCTGTGCAAATGAAAACCAGGGTCGACCCCTTTGGAATACAATCCGTATTTCTTCTCCAGTTTGTAGAAACACTTTTATTTATTATTTTAAAAATTATTATTTATTTAAAACTTTTATATCCCGATCTTCTCTACCTCTGCAGAGGGACTCAGACTGGCTAACAGCAAATATTAAATGCTAACACTGAGAATCTAGACCAGGGGTCCTCAAACTAAGGCCTGGGGGCTGGATATGGCCCTCCAAGGTCATTTACCCAGCCCTCGCTCAGGGTCAACCTAAGTCTGAAATGACTTGAAAATACACAGCAACAACAATTCTATCTCATCAGCCAAAAGCAGGCCCGCACTTCCCATTGAAATACTTGTAAGTTTATATTAAAATTGTTCTTCATTTAAATTGTATTGTTTTAAGTGTTTTTTGCACTACAAATAAGGCATGTGCAGTGTGCATAGGAATTCATTCAGGATTTTTCCAAATTATAATCTGGCCCTCCAACAGTTTGAAGGACTGTGACCTGGCCCTCTGTTTAAAAAGTTTGAGGACCCCTGATCTAGACATAATACACAACATTAAGTTACCAATTACATATAAAAATTACATAACATTTCATAGAAGCCGTTCACCAATATAAAATCGTGTCCAACTCAATCCGTATGTCCAGCCCATATATTGTGATCGGTACCATTGGTCGATTGCCGGTCTCAAACATCATTCCGCAAAAGCATTGTTGCACAGCATATAAAAATTACATAATATTTCATAGAAGCCGTTCACCATGATAAAACCGTGTCCAACTCAATCCGTATGTCCAGTCCATATATTGGGATCAGTATCATTAGTCGATTGCCAGTCTCAAACATCATTCCGCAAAAGCATTGTTGCACAGCCAGCTTCCTAAAGGTCAGGTGGGAGGGGACAGACCTAATTTCATTTGGGAGGGAATTCCATAGCTGAGGGGTCACCACAGAAAAGGCCCTGCAGAAAGTAAAAACCCTTGCAGAAAGTCAAAGGCAGTACCCCACCTTGTGTCTCTGATGATTGGAGAAGGCAGGTACAGGTCTAGGCAATCCAGGTTTTTTGGACTCCAACTCCCACAATTCCTAACAGCCTTTAAGAAGCAGAGGGGGGAAGAGAAAGAGCCTGAGTTTGTTAGGAATTGTGGGAGTTGCAGTCCAAACAACTGGAGGGCCCAAGTTTGCCAAGGCCTGCATTAAACGACCTGCGTTGTTGCATAAAGCGCCTCAGGAGGCCCTTTTCCGGCCAGCAAGGTTCCTGAGAGTAGCCTTAGAGACGCCTCGTTAAGGCCACTGCGTTTCTTTTGAGGCCTTCCCTCCCTGCCTCTCTCCCTCCCTCGAGGCCCCACCTTCCCTGGACTCGGTTCCGCCCTCGGCGCCACTCACCGACCGGCTCCCTCCTCCTCCTCCTCCTTCCCTCCCAAGAGGCCCCGTCCGGCTGCCTGCCCTCCTGCCTGCCTGCCTGCCTGCCTGCCCACCCCCGCGGTTTGTTTGGTTTCGAACCGAAAGAGTTCCGAGCGGGCGGCCTCTGAGGGAGCCCAGGCAGGCAGGCCCCAGCTCGTGACGTACTTCCGGCAGCCGGCACCGCTACAGGCACCACGTGACACCGCGTCGGCGCGTAGAGGACGCAGAGTATCGAGAGGGAGGAAAGAGAGAAAGGAGTCAGGTGCGGGAGGGGGGGGGAGTCTCTGTGTGAGAGAGCACGCATGCGCAGGAGAGGGGTTCCGCGGGGCCCGCGACGTCACGCGGCGCAACCATGGCAACCGGGCTCTAAATATATAAGTAGGCTGGGTGGGAACACGAAACCGTGCAGGCCTCTCTCTCTCTCACCCTGAATATCAAGGCAGAAAATCCCACAATATCTGCTTTGAACTTAACTATCTGAGTCCACATTGCCATATATTCTAGTTCAAAGCGAGATAATGTGGGATTTTATTCAGCTCTATGGAAGGGGCCACAGATAACCCAGTTATCCTTGGTTAGACTACATCTGGAGTACTGTGTCCAATTCTGGGCGCCACAATTGAAGGGAGATGTTGATAAGCTGGAATGTGTCCAGAGGAGGTCGACTAAAATGATCAAGGGTCTGGAGAACAAGCCCTATGAGGAGCGGCTTAAAGAGCTGGGCATGTTTAGCCTGAAGAAGAGAAGGCTGAGAGGAGACATGAGGGCCATGTTTGTTCATTCGTTCAGTCGTCTCCGACTCTTCGTGACCTCATGGACCAGCCCACGCCAGAGCTCCCTGTCGGCCGTCACCACCCCCAGCTCCTTCAAGGTCAATCCAGTCACTTCAAGGATGCCATCCATCCATCTTGCCCTTGGTCGGCCCCTCTTCCTTTTGCCTTCCACTTTCCCCAGCATAATTGTCTTCTCTAGGCTTTGCTGTCTCCTCATGATGTGGCCAAAGTACTTCATCTTTGCTTCTAGTATCCTTCCCTCCAATGAGCAGTCGGGCTTTATTTCCTGAAGTATGGATTGGCTGGATCTCTCACAGTCCAAGGCACTCTCAGAATTTTCCTCCAACACCACAGTTTAAAAGCATCTATCTTCTTTTGCTCAGTCTTCCCTAAGGTCCAGCTCTCACATCCGTAGGGTACTACAGGGAATACCATGGCTTTGACTAGGCGGATCTTTGTTGCCAGTCTGATGTCTCTACTCTTCACTATTTTATCGAGACTGGACATTGCTCTCCTCCCAAGAAGTAAGCGTCTTCTGATTTCCTGGCTACAGTCTGCATCTGCAGTAATCTTTGCACCTAGAAATACAAAGTCTGTCACGGCCACCACGGTTTCTCCCTCTATTTTCCAGTTGTCAATCATTCTTGTTGCCATAATCTTGGTTTTTTTGACGTTTAGCTGCAACCCGGCTTTTGCGCTTTCTTCTTTCACCTTGATTAGAAGGCTCCTCAGCTCCTCCTCGCTTTCGGCCATCAGAGTGGTGTCATCTGCATATCTGAGGTTGTTAATGTTTCTCCCAGCAATTTTACCCCAGCCTTGCATTTGTCAAGCCCCGCACATCGCATGATGTGTTCTGCATACAAGTTAAAAAGGTTGGGTGAGAGTATGCAGCCTTGCCGTACGCCTTTCCCAATCTTGAACCAGTCTGTTGTTCCGTGGTCAGTTCTTACTGTTGCTACTTGGTCCTTGTACAGATTCCTCAGGAGAGAGACAAGGTGGCTTGGTATGCCCATCCCACCAAGAACTTGCCACAATTTATTATGATCCACACAGTCAAAGGCTTTAGAATAGTCAATGAAGCAGAAGTAGATGTTTTTCTGAAACTCCCTGCCTTTCTCCATTATCCAGCGGATATTGGCAATCTGGTCTCTCGTTCCTCTCCCTTTTCTAAACCCAGCTTGAACATCTGGCAACTCTCGCTCCATGTATTGCTGGAGTCTTCCTTGCAGGATCTTGAGCATTACCTTACTGGCATGAGAAATAAGGGCCACTGTACGGAAGTTGGAGCACTCTTTCGCATTTCCCTTTTTTGGTATGGGGATATAAGTTGATTTTTTCCAGTCTGATGGCCATTCTTGTGTTTTCCATATTTGCTGGCAAATGGCATGCATCACCTTGATAGCATCATCTTTTAAGATTTTAAACAGTTCAGCTGGGATCCCGTCGTCTCCTGCTGCCTTGTTGTTAGCAATGCTTCTTAAGGCCCATTCAACCTCACTCCTCAGGATGTCTGGTTCTAATTCATTCACCACACTGTCAAAACTATCCTCGAATATTATTATCCTTCCTATACAGATCTTCTGTATAGTCTCGCCACCTTCTCTTGATCTCTTCAGCTTCTGTTAGGTCCCTGCCATCTTTGTTTCTTATCATACCAATTTTTGCCTGAAATTTACCTCCAATGTTTCTAATTTTCTGGAAGAGGTCTCTTGTCCTTCCTATTCTGTTGTCTTCTTCCACTTCCATGCATTGCTTATTTAAAAATAGTTCCTTATCTCTTCTGGCTAACCTCTGGAATTGCGCGTTTAACTGGGCATATCTCCCCTTATCACTGTTTCCTTTTGCTTTCCTCCTATCTTGGGCTACTTCCAGTGTCTCAGCAGACAACCATTTTGCCTTCTTGGTTTTCTTTTTCTTTGGAACGTACTTTGTTGCCGTCTCCTGAACAATGTCACGGAATACTGTCCATAGTTCTTCTGGGACTCTGTTTACTAAATCTAGTCCTTCAAATCTGTTCTTCACTTCCACTGTATATTCGCTAGGAATGTTAGTGAGATCATATCTAACTGGTCTGTGTATTTTCCCTGATCTCTTTAGTTTTATTCTAAATTGAGCAATAAGAAGTTCGTGATCTGAGCTACAGTCAGCCCCAGGTCTTGTTTTCACCGACTGGATGGATGTCCGCCACCTTTGGCTGCAAAGGATGTAGTCAATCTGATTTCGGTGTTGACCATCTGGTGCAGTCCATGTATAAAGCCGTCTTTTAGGTTGTTGGAAGAGAGTATTTGTTATACACAGCGAGTTTTCCTGGCAAAATTCTATCAGCCTGCGTCCCGCTTCATTTTGTTCTCCCAGACCATGCTTGCCTGTGATCCCTGTTGTCATTTGACTTCCCACCTTGGCATTCCAGTCTCCTGTAATGAAAATAATGTCTCTTTTTGGTGTATTATCCAGTAGGTCCTGCAGATCCCCATAGAACTGATCTACTTCTGCTTCTTCAGCAGCTGTGGTTGGGGCGTATATTTGGATCACTGTAATGTTGAAAGGCTTTCCTTGCACTCGAATTGAGATCATTCTGTCATTTTTTGGGTTGTATCCAAGCACCGCTTTAGCGAATTTCTTATTAATTATGAAGGCTACTCCATTTCTTCAATGTTCCTCTTGTCCGCAGTAGTAGATCTGGTGGTCATCTGATGTGAAGTGGCCCATTCCAGTCCATTTCAGTTCGCTGACCCCCAGAATGTCTATCTTTAGTCTTGACATCTCACCAATACAACATCCAATTTGCCCTGGCTCATAGATCTTACATTCCAGGTTCCTATGGTGTGTTGATCTTTAGAGCATCGGATTCGTCGTTCACCTCCAGTACCGTCGGCCGCTAGCCTTCCTTTCGGCTTTGAGCTAGCTGCGTCATCACATCTGGGGCTAGTTGAACTGATCCTCTGCTCCTCCCCAGTAGCATTTTGGCCATCTTCCGACCTGGGAGTCCCATCTTCCAATGGCATACCGACATATCTCTGGTTGTACTGGTCCATTTAGTTTTCTTGGCAAGGATACTGGAGTGGTTTGCCATTGCCTTCCCCAGGGATCACGCTTGCTCTGACCTCTCTGCCACAACCGTCCCGTCTTGGGTGGCCCTTCACGGTTTCGCTCATGTTTAGCCTGAAGAAGAGAAGGCTGAGAGGGGATATGATAGCCATGTATAAATATGTGAGAGGAAGCCACAGGGAGGAGGGAGCAAGCTTGTTTTCTGCTTCCCTGGAGACTAGGACGCAGAACAATGGCTTCAAACGACAAGAGAGGAGATTCCATCTGAACATGAGGAAGAACTTCCTGACTGTGAGAGCCGTTCAGCAGTGGAACTCTCTGCCCCGGAGTGTGGTGGAGGCTCCTTCTTTGGAAGCTTTTAAACAGAGGCTGGATGGCCATCTGTCAGGGGTGATTTGAATTCAATATTCCTGCTTCTTGGCAGGGGGTTGGACTGGATGGCCCATGAGGTCTCTTCCAACTGTTTGATTCTATGAGATGTTGATGTGGAATGTGTCCAGAGGAGGGCGACTCAAATGATCAAGGGTCTGGAGAACAAGCCCTATGAGGAGCGGCTTAAAGAACTGCGCATGTTTAGCCTGAAGAAGAGACGGCAGAAAGGAGATACCGTGATGACGCGAGTGGCGCCACCTATGTGTAGAACTATTAGTTGCAAGATTTAAACTGTTGTATCATGCTTAATCCTGCCTTTTTACCCTGCTTATGTATAGTTGGATTGATTGCTTATTTACAGCTGTCAGTCAGTGTTGTTTGCACCAGTTGAATTGCTTTCTCAAGCTCAATTGTTTGGCTCCACCTCTTCCTGGAGGAGGGGAGTGCTTCCTCCTTTTTTCATTCTGCCATCAGAGTTTCTATCGGATGGACGTAAGAGACTTGGCTGTAATAGCCCCTGATTAAATTACCTCTCAGCACCAATTCTAAGGTTTTTTTTTTTACCCTTGGGACTCATGCTTTATGTCCAGATCGTCCTGGACAACATTGAGGAGACCCAAGCGCCTTCAAACCAGTTCTTTTGGCACCAGAGGAAGGTCTTGTCCCTTCAACATAGGCCATTGGACTGGGGTTGTGTTTATTCCGATATTCACAGCCATTGAGGAAAGAGGAAACAGGAAAAGCTTCTCAGCTGCAAATTCCTTAGACTTCAGAGATTGTAAAGTATATTTCCTTTATCCCTGTTGAAACATCAAGCTTATGCCTGAGAAAGATAACTCATTGTGAACAATGAATACCATTTCGAGTTATCTGTTGTGTTTTGGTCTTTGGGAGTTCCAGTTTCCTATAGGAGGGCAAGAAGCAATCCCCTGGGGAAAGATGCCACATCCATGCCTCTTTCACTAA